AGGTTAGGTTTACTGATCGTTAATGGCAGTGGCAATAAAATATATTTCTTTGATATCACCGAAGAATAACGCGGTTTGTTTTTGTTTAAACGAATTCCATGGAACGGTTGTTACGAACTGTTACCCTGCGTTTCCATGGAACTAATAGATTCTTCACCCTAAAGGTGGAGCCACAATGGATGCATTCGCAGCGTCATCTCCAACGAATGTTCGATTGGAATTGGAACTAAATTTGTTTCAAGCGCAGAAGAATGAATCGTCGAGGCTGGTAACAGTCAGATCTCGATTGAATCGTGCACAGTCAGGTGTTGAAAAAAGCGGGAGGGAAAGTGAGAGGTTCGCATGCTGTGTTATTCAACTCTGACGTGGGTGTCGAACGCGATTTCGATTTCAGGAGTATACGTCCTGCGAAGGGGAAACTACTGTTTGTAAAATGCAGTAAGTCTTTTCAGCCGTTTTTCGTTGAATCATCATAAATGCGCGTCTAGTCATTTGATGTTTTCTTTATCATATAGATCATTTTCAATTTTGCAATATATTCCCGTTTCGACAATAAGATCTTTTAACTCCGTAAATATCGTATTTGGCAGATACAATCGACCAACTGTAATCCATAAATACATCCTTGTTCGTGGATCACAAACAACTTTGTTTGCATACAGTTTTGTTTTCGTTTTCGTTGAGTCAAGCGATATTGCATATGTATATGTACAGCTGTTATAGCGTAGTGTGGATCCATTGATTTGGCGCGCTCGAGTATTTTACAAGTTGTTGTCCTCCTAAATATGTTTCGAAGTCTCCTTCAGAGAAATTTGTATAAACATGAATTAACGTGAGGGCAGAAAAAGCTATTTACACGAAATATTTTTGTAATGCATATATATCATTTATGTAAGCGATAGAATTTTATTTCACGAATAAAATGAATAAATAAATAAATAACGTAATTTTTAATTTAGCGCTTATTGCGAAAATGTATATTAATTGATATTGATTAACATTGCTCTGTATTACTCGACATTATGTAATTTGAAAATATTTTAGCAATGTAAAATTGTAAATTTTCAAATAGATAAATTTCATTTATTTTTTATGAATTAATTCCAATTAATCATTTGAAAATCTTAAATATTAATTATTTTATTAGTTTAAATTTTTTTATGTTTTTGTATTAAGATTTTATTATACTCATGTTGCAAATTTATATTAAGCACACTTTGGTAATGTATAAAATGAATTAATAATATATATATGAACACTGCTTACTGTAACATTGCACTTTATATACACTACATATAACTTAAGGTATTTGAACATGATGCAATATCATATGATGTAACTTATAATTTATGAATTGGTAATGAACTAGATTTAAGTCAAGATTGTTGGCCACAATAACAAAAGAATGTTATGATCATTAATAGTTCAAGCTTTCAAAATGATTTTATGTGCATGTAAAATAATTTATTGTTTTGTTTATTAAATATAATTAAATATAGGACACTGTTTTAAATATTGTTCTAGATATATTTTATGATGGTTATTGTTTCTTATTTATAGATATGGAGTCATTCTTGGAATTGTTTGATCCAGATAATAACAAACACAGCCAGAAAGATACTTGGAATGATTCAGAGAATGAAGGAAATCGAATTTCAGACTGTGAAAATTCAAGTATTGATGATGATCAGGAGGAAAGACTGCCACCAGAACCTGAACAGGGTAATGTTGAATACAAACTAAAGCTAATAAATCCATCTAGTCAACGGTTTGAACATCTTGTAACACAAATGAAATGGCGTCTCAGAGAAGGCCACGGGGAAGCTATTTATCAAATTGGTATGAAACCGTTTTATAAATTATAATTATCTAATCATATATCTTTAGTGACTTTATTATTTATCATATCATTATTTAATTATTAGGTGTGGAAGATAATGGAAAATTAACAGGCTTATCAAGAGAAGACATGAAGGCATCATTAAAAACTCTAAATGATATGGCAGCTAGATTAGGTGCTACAACAAGTATACTACGTGAAAGACATGCCAATTCTAAAAATAAAGATATAACCACACATCACAATAAAGAGGAAAGACAGATAGCAGAAGTTTTAATAAGAAAGTTAAGGAAAGGGGATAGAGAGGATCAAGATAGTATTATTGATTTGAGACTTGCAGTCACTGGTGCCCAGGATGCTGGAAAATCAACTCTCTTAGGTGAGAGGATTAGCAGAGGACATTTAAGGTAGAGAAATATACTTAGAGTTTACTCTGCTAAATTCCTTGTTCATCTAGTTTATAACAATTGAATTGAAATGTAAATTTTAATGTATCTGAAATGTATATAGGAGTATTAACCCAGGGTGAGCTAGATAATGGTAGAGGGAGAGCAAGGCTGAATATGTTGCGACACCTTCATGAGATAAAAACAGGTCGTACATCATCGATATCTCATGAAATTATAGGCTTTGATAGCAAAGGGCATGTTCTAAATTATGCGGAAATGGCAACTGCAGAAGAAATATGCGAGCATGCGTCGAAAGTTGTTACATTTATAGATTTAGCCGGTCATCGTAAATATTTAAGGACTACGGTACTCGGTCTCACAGGTACGATAACTCGAGTTATCTTGGTAAATTGTAAATTTTATTAATGAGCAATTTATAACCTTATCTTTCAGGATATTCACCTCATCACGTGATGTTAGTTGTAGCACCGCCTATGAATGAAGCGTCGCAAGAACACATGGCGTTATGTCTTACATTGGGACTTCCATTTTTTATAGTTGTAAACAAGATCGATCTTGGTTTTTATAGCATATCCGAAACAATAAATCAATTAGAGAACGCCATTAATACACAGGGATATTGTAAGCAATTAATAATGTATAATAACAGTCAAATGTCGTGGAATTATGAATCAGACATAATACCAGTTTTCAATGTGAGTTGCGTTACCGGGGAGGGTTTGGAAGATTTAACAAATTTTATTAAGAATTTATCACCATATAACGTGAATTCTGCAGATTCAGATCCTGAATCGTGTCTGTTTCAAATTGACGAAACTTTCAGGTATATACTTTTTTCTAAAAATATAATTAGAATTATATTTAGTAACCATATGAATTATAAAGTCAAGCTGTTTTCTTTTATTTCATATAGAGTAGCAGGTTTGAACGAACCTGTTTTGGGAGGATTGCTTGTGAGAGGAGCAATCGCTCCTGGAACTCGATTGTTGGTAGGCCCTTTACCAGATGGTGAATTCAGTCCTGTTAAAGTTGTCAGCTTACATCGAAACAAAACTCCATGCTGTTTAGTAAGAGCATCGCAGAGTGCTAGCCTAACATTAGCACCACCAACAAATCGAAGCCCCCCTTTACCCCATCTAAGACCTGGAATGGTTTTAATATCACTATGGGACCAACCTCATGCTACACTTTTTTTTCAAGTATGTTCAACATAATGATATCTCACTTAAAATACATATAAGATTCAAATAAATTACTTATTACAATTTTATGTGCATATTCTTAGGCAACTGTATTAATAGTGTACCACGCAACTGCAATATATTCTGGTTTTCAAACAACTGTGCATGTAGGGAATGTAAGGCAGACGTGTATCATTAAAGGAATAATGGACGCTAAAGACAGAGGTTTACAAACGAACGATACGGCATCCGTGTTGTTTAGGTTCGTCAATCATCCGGAATATTTGCACGTCGGTATGCGATTATTATTGCGAGAGGGTCGTACTAAAGGAATCGGTAAAATAACACAGATATTTCCATTAATAGGTCAGCAGAACAGTATACAGTAAGTAAATCAAATAAAATTTTACGTGTAAAAAGTATTAAAGTATTAAAGTATGCAATACATTTATGAAGATGATAAGAAAGCTACTGTAATATTAGATGTAATTATATCATGCGCCTGGCACAAGTATTTAAAAAATACCGGTAATATTCGTTATAAAGCACACAGTGGTTTTGTTTGTTTTCGATTTTCTTCTTCTGTTTAATACAATGAATGTATGTACACGATTAAACTTGCTTTAGTTTAGTTTTCTATGCTCTTAAAATAGAGAATTTTTGGTATATGAGAAAGCCAACAGTTGGTCTTGATAATATATTTTCTGCCTTTTTTATTTTAAAAAAATGTGTTGTTTGGTAAAGAAAAAAGTAGTATAGAATGAACATTGTCAGATGAAAATTATTGATTGATAGCAAAAAAAAAAAAGAATACTTCTGCTTCAGGTGCATAAGAAAAAATAAGTTTAGTTGTAAGAGAGAAAAATCTTAGAATCATAAAATTTCATGGACCTTAAATAGTACCTTTATTTCATTATAGTATTTATGAAGTCGCTGACGACTATGCTTATTTTGTGATATGCAATAAAAGGTCGCTTTATGTCATCCTTTTGTGTGTGACACTGCAGTTTAAAAATTCTTTGTGAGAACAGTCATTATAATAATGCAATGTTTCTCTATAAAATTTCATTTTGGCTATGAATCTATTTATTCTGCTAGTATTTAAGAAACGAAAGACTAAAAAAACGTTATAGTTGACAAACGCAGAATAAAAATTTTCGCAATAGACTACTATTGTGAAATAATAAGCATCGAGTGCTGTATCGTTTTTAATTCATAGAACTTTCAGAAAGAAAATTATATTATATACTTATACATATGTGTTATGTATATAAAAAGAAAAAATGTTTTGTCAAAGAATCAAAAAATGTTACTTAAGACGGTTGTATTTGCGCACGTGTCTAAATTGCAAATGGTAAATTCTTCAAGATTATATGAGGTTACATATCATAACACATGTTAAAATGTTTTGTAATCATAAATCATTATGCAGCCGTCCAAAAAAAGATTTTGTTTTATTTACATTAAATCTCAAATGTAATGCTGTATTATAAACTGTAAAATATTTTGAATAAAACAGAAAAATTTACACGTCTATTTGAAGTGAATTTAAAATATTGGAACCATATCTTTATATCTAAAAAAAAATCTGTCTTTATTGTCCAAAAATAAGTAGATCAAACAAAGTGATAACTAATATTTATATATATATATTATATGGCTTTGACAATAATAATGTCAAAACCTTTTTGATATTATTTTTGCTTCAATCAATTATTTCCACAATTGAAAAAAAGAAACGCAGACATTTATTCAATATGATTTCATAAAATCTCTTAATAACTTAATCCAACGCTAACAATATTCCATTTAATATAACGTCAAATCGTAGTCGGAGGTAAAATAATATAATATTAAATTCTGAGAAAATACTGTTCCATTACAGGTAGCAAATACAGATATAGCATCTATAAATATAGTTTTCAATTTGATTATTTTCATAATTACGCGTATAACTCTAACCTACGAAGGCGGAGATTCAAGGAAAGAATCGTATAAATAAATAGCGCGTGAATATTTGTATCAACTTGTTGCGTGCAAAGGAAAAACCGTTTCCTTCGGCTAAACCGGTTTCTTTTATCTATCCTTCAAACGAAATTACTCATTCGAGGATGGTAATCACCCGCATGACGAGTACTATTCACGAAGAAATGAATTTATGTACGGTCGTTACTGCGAAGATAAACTGTGATACATAATACCAATTGGAAGAAAGAATGTTAGTAATTGTTCAACGTGATTACTTTCTTCGATAGTTGTCTTCATCGTCATATTCTAAAAAAGACTTGTGTTTCAGATTACGTAGTCGGATAATTTGGCGTTGGAACGTTTATCGTGCCCCAGAAGAGCACGAGCTTCGATGGGTCGTGTCTGATGAAGAAGATGAAGGGTCGATTCGCAATGAACTTCTTCTGACTTCCATCACGCTCCAATACAACGCCAGTCACGGCTGCGGCTTCGGTACCTTTTTCTGTGATATCTATTTCTACCTTTTGAAGAACATCTGTAGCGAAGAGATGTGGGTTGACCAGATTTGCGCTATTTCTAAGACTGTCCAGCCCGTATGATGGAAGATTCTGATGTCTCACAAAGTCCAGGAAGTTTTGATCAATTGGTCTGGTTTGCCTTCTATTTCTTCCTGTTTGTTCTTCGAAACGATACTTGTTTTCTTCGAGATTTACAATCTTTGTATTATCGTGATATTCTTTGGATCTGCCCTCCACTCTATACGAGCTCCTATCTTTCTTTCCTTTAATGTCACGAATATCACGAGTCTTTCTGAGGAAAAACCCATTCGCCCATTGTTCCACGTTATAACCACGAATTTTGTCCTCGTATGTAAAGTAATTTCGTTTTACCATACGACTCGTTTGACCTGGTTTTCTCGATTCTGAGGAAGGATAGAAACGAGAGGGGAAGTATATCATGTCGTTGTATATTTGATTCTGTGGTCTTTTTTCGTTACCATTCTGTGAAGTAGTTATGGTAGGACTTGATTTCGGCCGTGATTCTAATGGCCTCACGTTCGTCTGGTTTCTGCCATTCATATTGGTTACGGCATTGGGTTGAGATATGAGGCTCAAATCTGCTGTTAGTGGATCGAATAAAGACTCGAGACCCAAAGCAGCGAGCGTAGGCCTTAAACTTAGGCTGGTGCTTAACTTCATTCGTGGAAAACCGACGATACATGTTTCGTTCTTTACATTCTTAATTAAATTCTCGATTATGTCAACTGTTAGTTTGTTCTTGAATTCTCGAAGAGCTTTTGCTCCTGGAGCTGTTGGAAGCAAAACGTACATCGAGAGCTGAAAAGAAATTATGAATTAATTTGATAAGATATGTATGTGTATGTAATAGAAATTTTTAAAGGATCGGATGAATTTTAATTTTAGTCACAATAGACTGGAATAACTAATTTTGAATTGAAACAAAATAACATTATTTGAAAGCTTATATCTGTTGTGAAATTTTAAAATACTTACTTCGCGACCCTTGTATGGAAAACCAATGATCTTCGCGCCCAATTTCTTGTCTAAGTAGAACGGAAACGTTCCTCCATTGTACATCATGTTGACATTAACTGTCTCGTTTGGCTCAATGAAGAATGGTCTCCTATTTAAACAATCGAATTAATTATATAATGCGCCATAATTGCAACTGATTATTAACCCATTAAGAGTCAAACGGTGAAATGATGTATAAAAGCTTACATTATTAAAATACTTAAATCAAATAACTTATATTCTTTTGTTAATGTACAAAAAATGTAATAGAATAACAGGCACTTTACAGAAATCCATTACAACATGAATAGAACAAATATTTTTATAAAATTGAAGGAGCTTAGTAAAAAAAGAAATAGAAACGAAAAGAAATATTACACAAATCCTTGGTTTCTTTTTAATAATTATAATATTAAAAAACAAAATTCAATAATGCTAGTTGATTGAATCAAATTTTTCTTATTAAACTCTTTGAGTATTGAATACTCCCAGCGGAAACAACTCGTGTGGATGAATACTTCTTTTGCTAATGTGAACTATGTTGGTTGAATAGCGCAACTGAGTTATAATGTATATGTACACCTGTACACTTACAACGTCACCATGGCGGCAACAATGGAATTGTTAATTCCTCTTATAACGTCGCCACGGCGGCGACAACGGAGTGAAAAGGGGTATTATTCATATTCACATACAGAAGATAAATGAACTTGCATTTTTTTGTTTATGTCGTTGCTAAGAAATGCACATGTATCATCTCATACACTAGTAAAAGAATCTCAAGCGCGGGAGAGGTCAAAAAAGTTGATAAACGCATATATGCGTCCTTAGTCCACACAAATAGCTTCTGCTAGACGCATAGATTCGTTCATAGCGCTCAAAGGAAAGAGATTACAATGGTCTATGTTCTCTATATAAAACCTACATAAACTTCCTTCATAAAGGAAAATGATACCTTTTCGTAGCTCCATCCAAAAAGTATTGGTCCCATTCTCCATTAAAGTAGAGCGCTGATAAAAGAATCATTGCTGTTTCTGGCCCCGGCGTGTGGTTTAGAATACTTGTAATTTTGCCTTTCGTCTTCTGCCGCACCCACATGTTTATCATCTCCTCTGCCCCTTTTCCATTTTTAGCAAAATCCACGTTGAATATATCGGTTTGATAAATCTCTTTGCTAAGTAACTTGAATTGCGGCAGTATTGGAAATCCATTCTAAACCACAACCATTAAAATTATAATCAATTACACGTTCGTTTTACTTCAAATGAAATCCAATTCCTTTTTCATTTTTCTAAAGTTTAATTCGCCCGTGAAAGGAAATTTTACCTGCACGTATGCCGCTGTGGCGAAATTCAATTGCGGTAGAAGTATCCCAGCAGATTCTTTACTTTGAAGTTGAGACAAAAGCACACCAAACATCTGGTGAACAACCTCAGAATTTTGTGAGATATCAATCCCGGCCTCTAATCCAAGAACCTTGGACGCTTCATCGAAAGTCCTACCCGCAGAACCTGCAAGAACGATTGCCAATATTGCGGCAAGGCTAGTTGGCGACAAAACTATATTGTCCCGTTGCTCGATCAAGGATACGCCTCGAGTTCTGTGAATCTCTTGTTCTACGTCCAGACCGAATTTCAGTACTCCATTAGCGATGATATTGTTCACCTGTAACGTAGTAACAAACACGTTATTATCCACTTCCAATAGTACATGTTCGTATATTCTATTGATGGAAGATTTTCTTAATTTTCTCAATAAATATCTTTTACGAGAGCTTCCGTTGATTTGAAAAAGAAACGTGCTCGTTTAATTGAGATAAACGTAAACTGTTTATGCGTCATCAGCGATTGCAAAGAAAAATGTGCAGTCAGAGTTAAACAACACTTGTAAACTTTTTCGACCCCAGTATGTATTCTAGCGTGTAACGCGCTGTAAGCTATAAGATTGTGCCGATTTACACAAATTCAAGAACACTTCAAGACCTTTATTCAACGCATAATTACATTTTACGCTGGTAAAATACGAAAAAAGTGAAAACCCGCAAATTACCATCAAGGTATCATTAATCTATCCGTATGAAACTTCAAGATCACTGTTCAACTGTTAATGTTTACCGGGCAACTTGCATCACTGGTGCTGCCTTTTATTCTCATCATGAATTTCTCAAGAGTATTTCACTACTCTTCGTGACTCATGCGATAATGAATTGAATTGTAATCACCCAAAGCTTCTATCAAAACCTTTCACTGTATACCTTCTTAATTCTCTTGCATTATTTGTTTTTTTTTTTTTAGATTAAATTCTATTTTTTTGTCGTTGGAAAATTTCTTAGCGCGTTCACGATGCAGAACGAAAACGTACTTAATCTTTATACGTTAAGACGCTAAACAGAATTTCGTATATTTCCATCCATTAAACAATATTTCAAGCTCACAGCAGAAAAACGTGATAAGTACTTTTTGGGTGATTCTATGATATTTTGAAGCTACTTTAGACTTAAAAAGGATTAATACACAGCGTGAATAATAGTCTTAAACGTACAGTGGCTACAAAAACAATTGCCACGTATCCTTATTTTCCAAAAAGCACATATACATATGTATAGTACATACAACTAGATATGTATCATTCATATGAATAAAGAAAAAATTACACTTAACCGGGTACAGTCTAAGTACTTATTTTAATAAATGTTTGTATGCTTACATGATCGTCCCAGTCTTGCAACGTGTTTTCGGTAACAGCCGGATAGGCCGTAGTTGGATATGATGCCTTTGTTCTTCGCGGTGCACCGAGTCCAAGTATTGGCGGTGAAGTTCGTGGTAATTGTGAATTTACTTGATAGGAATTGATTGTGCTCTTCACAGAATCTTGTGACCGTACATTTTGAGGGATATTTGGAAAAATGGACGAAGGAACGGTTGTAGACGCGAGCAATTTATCGTCTGGATAGATTAGTTGACCAAAGCAAGTGGCCGTGAGACACAGGAATATAAGCACAGTCTTCATTTCTGCAAAAAAAAAGACAGATAATGGTAATTAGACATATTTTTGTGATATGTGCGTAATTATTTTTGCAGTTAAAATTGTAAGATAAAGTATTAGAAACAGGTGCTTTGTGAAGGATTCGAATATTTTAATAGTATCGAAATATGAAAATTGAAATTTGTTATGAACAAAATTGTTAAAGTTAGTCAATGGAAAATATTATACGTAAATGACTGAGCACTCTAGTATACGAATATCAGCAAAATACGATGATACATAAATGACTGAAGATATTAACATTCCAATGTTATTGTTAAAATAATGTGAATGCCCATAAATATCTGCACTCTAGTTATAGTTTCAAAGTTTTTTTCTTTGTAAACTACCCTCCAATATACCAGAGGAGAGCGGTGATGTTTTAAAAACCGGTTTTAGAATTTTACCGTTGTTAACCAGGTAGTGCAGGTATAAATATAATATGCTTTTAGTGGTCATCTTTTTCACGAATTGTAAATTTCGCAATCAACGTCGAATTATTAGTGCGATAAATGAGATGAAATAGGAATTTAAGTTTCGAAAAACTCAACGAGGATAAATACTTAATGGAGGACTTAGCTGCTTTATTTCGATTCTTCGCGTATTTTTGTCTGTGACCGCGACAAATTTAATTTTGGACCGAAGAATATACATATTTAAAATCCATTAAAAAAGAATTTAAAGAATACTGATCAGAGAAAAATGAGAATTAAATTAAATTAAATAGGAGGATTGATGGGGGAAAAATATTGATAAAACAAGTCCTCGACGAAAAGTATAACATTCGAAACAGTAGCTTCTGGTTCATAAATATTCATTTTCTCTGAATATTCGCAAAACTTATGATATCCATGCACTCTTTTTTTCTTTTTCTCTTTCTTTTTCTTTTATATGTGTAATTATAAGTATGTGCAGTAACGTAAACAACGTTTACGGAATCGCACAACTTTATTTGCATACTACACTTAACCCATCTGCTTTTAAAAGCGAAATTCCTTGAATTTAAGAATGCAAGGCTTCTTCATTCTTTCTACATATTTGTTAGGAAAAGAAAAAGGATGCTGAAGGAGAAAAGAAGAAGCAGAGAGGTATTATTTTTAACAAATACATTCATTTATAACGAAAAGTAATAGCAAATGAAAAGGAAGTAGCTCAATCGTTGTCAATTAATTGTTTTGCTGTAATGATATGCTACAACTGATTTAAACGTTTCGTTATCATTTCACCAAGATACATATGGTCATTTCAATTTCCTATTTGCATATGTTACTAACTAATAGTACTAACTATTTATATAAACACTGTAAATAAATTAGATTGAAAATATGGAAATATTAGCGTCAGTTTGTTAAAAGATATTGAAAAGTAGCTTCTAATTAACAGGTATTTTATCCTAAAAATTATTTTACTAAAAAAACTCTTTTGTCACAAATTCATATAAAAACAATAAAATTTATTTTCAACAAAAATTCCTGTTAAAAGTATTTTTTTTCAAATATTGAATTCATCGAAATTCTATATCTCTTTCGTTAACGACACAATTATGCAAAAAGAAAACATATTTAAGAACTTATTTTAAGACCAACTCAGAAAAATTTAACTTACCGATTTATTAGAATATCAATGCCAGTACGATTCCCATCTTATCTATTACCAAATCGAAAAATTAACGAACAGGATGAAAATTTATTAATAATTTTCTTTACATGCGATATTTGCTCTACCTTAACTTGTTCAACATCAATCATTAATTTTCAAGACGTAGCAATAATTACGATACAACAACATCACTATCTATTATCATCATTAAGCGATTAAGAAAGCAACGACGCTAATTTTGGTATTATTTAACAGATACGTCGTTCCTCCACTGGCGAGAGAATAACGAAAATACTAATGTATTGTTACACGCACATAGCGTTAGGTATCGATCTGTCTGCGGGTATTTCACGACACTATAAAATGCTTTTGCTCGCGTCATTGAAGATTAGAGTTGACATTATCGTGGTAGCGAGCATCCAGTGGGAAAACCCACATCAAACGTTATCCTTAGTTGGCTGCGAGATGAACGATGATGCATGGCCGAGACACATAAGTTCAACTGTACATTTTAAGTGAATGAAACGTATAAACGTGCACGAATATGCGTCGTAAAATTGTATTAACGGCCAGGTGCACTTTTACGGATCGATGAAGATTGTTTCAGTGTTGTTTGAAAGAAACGTAAAAGGTAAATGTACTCAGCTGCTTATGAGATTTGATATTGGATGAGATAGTTAAAAGACATTGTTGAGATGTTTTGTAATTGTAGGAAGAACGTGGTTTATCCGTTTAATTCGCTTTTGGAAGGAAGGAGAAATGTTTCGTAATGCACGACAACTGAGATAGTTTATAATTTAATATTAGAAGTAGTGGAATAGTCGAAAGACTTAACTTGCAGATTTATAGAAATTTTTGTGATTACACGAGTACGTAATTGTAGTAAAAATTTAATAGATTTCGAGGAATTTGTGTTTTCGAAAATTTAAATAACCTTTTGTAGAATATATGAATAAAAGCTTGTTTTTCTTCTGGTAATATATATTTGATCAAAAAGCCAGAAGTTTCGTATTTCTAATATTTTCAGAATTTTTTTTCCAATTGAAACTATGCATGGAGATTCTATTTTCAGAAATACAATTTTCGCCTGGTCCAATTCTATATATCTCTAATATAATTATCTGCAGTTTCAAAACAATAGAAACCCAAAAGAAAGGTAACGCGGGATTATACCACGCGCCTGACCTTTTAAGAATCTCCTTTCCAATCAAAATGCTTGTTGCGAATTCCACTTTCAGAATTGAAAAATTCCGCTTGTTGTAACTCCTATATATAATTTCATACAAAATAAGAACAATGGAAGCCCAAAAGGAAACTGACTATCTAAATCCCCAGAATTCATCAATTAATATAATCGAACAGTAAGAGAAATATCGAAGAATTCACCTTTATCTCTAAAAATTTTCTTAACCTTCGTTACAAATTCTTCTTGGAAGCAGGTGCCTATCTCAAAATTGCATCAATGACTAAGTCTACCATTCCTTGAAAGTTCGATTTTCCAATTATTACGATACGCGATCTCTTTCTCTATTTTATTGCCATGTATAGTCACGACAAGCGCATCTCCAATAAACTAGTCATTCGAGTGTAGGAATTTTATGACTATCACGAACTCGATGACCCTCTATAATTATCCATCTTCGTTGAAGATCCGTGTCTGAAAGGATCATTACTGATCGCTGATAGAAGAAGATTTAACAGGATTCAAGTGTTATCCTTGATAAAGTGTAGGACAACGAGGCATAGAGAGAGAACGAATATGAAGATGAAGAACTTAATATCATCGTAATTCATTAAGCGTCATAGTTTATATATCCTTGTATGAAGACCTTATCACCTGCTGATTCCGAATGTAATACGCTCGACCATAATTCTTCAATTTTTAGTTACGCGTCGATGCAATCGATAAGTTTTATGAGTAATAAAACATGAAGCTGAAAGAAAAAGAGAGAAAAGATGTTCAAGAGTGAGTTATACTTAAGAATGTATTCAATCATTGAGAAGTCAAATTAGTTGTTTCTACGTGCATTTTGATAATTCTTTGATTTTAATATCACATCGTACGTTTTATTTATTACTCTGACTATTCAGAAACCTAAGCGGTTATTTAGTCTGAGTCTTAAATGGCTCAATAAAATTGCAGAATGAAGTATACTGGCTAGAACTTTACCAAATTGTCATCTAGTGTTCTATGACGGACCTGTACTACAAGATACAAAGAATAGTTATTAATAAAGAAGACAGATGATATAATGTATCTACTATTTGATGGTGAAGCTATGACGTGATTATTTGCCCTTTTCAATGTGTATTAAATCGTGTATCTTTCTTATTATGTATGATGTATACTCACTTATGCGAGGTGTATTGAATTTCAGGACTTTTAAATATTAACAACTGAAAAATAAAACCTTAAATACACTATACAACCCAGTTATAGAAAAACAAAACTACAATAAACTACAATGAATGAAAAACGAATTTCTTTGTTATACAAAGATTCAGCTTTGACTCAAATAGCTTCTAGGCAAAATGTAAACAGTGAATTTGTAAATAGACAAATTTTATGTCAATATTAGAAGATAGTAGACAGAGGATTATAACTGGTAATGTGATGAAAATAAATAGATGTATATAGCTATACATCTTAGTAAAGGTCAGGAATAATTCTGTCAAAAATTGTTCATGCCCACTTTCAATAACTGCAAAAACGTGAAGTTCAGGACCCGTTATTTCGAAAGGCACGGTAGTTTTATTATTCACAGATACTATCTTGCACGACAATTTCTCAATCAGTAATATAATTTAAACTAGAAGTTGTATATTATAAATTCCTGTTTTACAATTTCGTAATCTTTTGTCGCATAATATCATCAAATAATTTATACATTGTAAAATTTATTTTCAAAACTTTCTTATTTTCTTTCATCGTCAAACTTATTATTGCTAATCAAAGATATTTATTACCAATGGTAACTTGTAACTGATAATCTGTAAAATTTCACTAATCATGATGGATGAATTGTGCAAGAGAACCTGAGGTTCATATATTACTTTACTGCTTTATAAATATTATAATTTGTTGCTATATTAATTAATCATTGTATCAAACTAGTATGTTTATAATATTATATTATATTATATTATATTATATTATATTGCATTTTTATATTATTAATATATTGCTTTAGTGCGTAAATATTTTAGCCAAAGGAGAATGTGTCATACTTCTGTGAATCACTGTAGCTGGAAATTTGGCGACGACCGGATGATCATTATTCGACGTAGTGAAATATTCATTATTTGGGAACAATAAACAGCAAAATTGTTCCAAATCATATACGTATATCGTCGTTCCAATCGTGATATCCTTTGAATTACTTTCTGTTAAAAACGGAATCAAACGGTCGAGCGATTGTGCGTCCAGCTAAAGGATACTGCAATCGTTGGCGACACAATCACGTGGATACCTGCTCCTTGTGAAATTGATTCCGCAAATAATATTTCGATTTTTCACATTCCCGGGAACTCCGCGGAATTTGCCTCCATCGGTTAGAATTCGCATCGTCTGACCAAACGCGACGATTTATCATTGCTACTATTATTTCTCTGTTTATTTGCTACTATCGCTCGTTTATCGCTACTTGTCGTTACTATCGCTAATACTATGCCTCTTTAAAACTGTTTCACCGATTAGTTATTATACATTCGAGATTGCCTTTATTTGACGCAAAACGTAAATTATTAAATCATTGAATGTAACTGTGTCCTTTTGGAGAAAAAAAATTTTAATGAAGAAGAATCCCAAATAAGTATTATTTCTTTCCTAAACGATGAAACGTATATCGTATTCGACGTAGAAAAAAATTCTTTAATGCATTAATTACAATGATTTCTAAGCTGTCTCCTTTTTAATCAAAAATTGTCCTCCAGAATTCATCCGAACTTTCCAGATAATCTCATGTGCCTTCAAAATTTATATTCCCATAAAAATTTCCCGAACAATCACGAAAGTACTCCGAACTTCCATAAAACTTCCATTATAATCATGTAATCATGAAAGAAGCATTTATAACTTATTTCAGTTATTATTCAATTCCTCTTTCTCAAAATTCGTTGAAACATTCAAAATACCTGCACGTGTTACTTGAACTGTTCTATACCTAAACTATATTATCATCGAATTCTACTTTCCGAAAAATCGCCAAAATACTCGAATATCCTTTCACGTGTATGCAGAACTTAATTATCATAGAAATGTTTTATTAGCACTTTTAATTCTACCTTCTTAAAATTCATCAAAATGTCCAATATAATCCCATTCTATCAAAAAACTTCTATGAATGATTCAACTTGCAATGAATATCTTTAGTCAAACGTCATATCTTAAAAAGAAAGGTATAAATATTCATGAATTTTTATTTACATACGATAGCTTTCTCTTCGAGATTAACCTCTAGTAATATCTTAACCTCTCTGCGATCTTGTATTTACAAAGTCATCTATAGATGTTTGAGCATTTTCTTTGAAATTTTATTACGAATATATAAAATATATTCCTACTTTTCTCAAATGAAACTTTTTAATTCAGTCTCCCCTTTTAGTTTCAATCGAATCGATATTTGAGACATCGATAAAAACAATCAATATTTATTAGTATAAATAAAAAAGTAATATATCAAAGATGAACGAAACCTGATAGTGCGAAAACACCTGAATTAGCTGATTAAACTTTGTATAGATTTTATGAAACATCGGCTGTTGATTATAGATACATATGAAATTTGAGTAATGGCAATATATTCCTTGTTTCAATTTAAATTTAGCAAAGTATTTGATTCCAAATTCCAGATATAGCATAATGTAAAAAATAGAACAATAGAGAAATATTGCTCTATCAATATTCCTCTGTCTAGATTATAGATTTTTGTGCATTTATGAGAAACTTGAAGACGAAGACAATTAAAATACGTTAAATATATAAGATATAGTAGTCGTTCTAATATCCAATAGGTGAAACAAATCGTTGCTAAAGTTTTACTTCCTTATAGTTTGCGTTTACAAAATTACAAGCTTACATAAAGATTCGCAGTCTAGGCATAACTTTGAAAATATAACAAAAATCTCAATACTTTGATAGAATTACGCCAGGTATCAGAATATGTGACACAAGCTCCGCATTCTGATCACTGAATTCCTCGACCTCCTTCAACTATCTTCCGTTTATACAGAACATTCTGATTCTTGTCCTGTTACATACCTTTTCAAATGTCTTCAGAGTATCTTCTTCCAAATGTCGCGTCTCTTTCTCTTGCAACTTCCACTGGAACACCGTGCGCTCTTTTCACTGATAAATTAAATCGTTGAGGCCAATTTACTTGTCGTAGTATCGTGAAAGACAGTGAAACGAGATAATGGATAAAGAATGGTGAAGAAAATGAAAATGTCACGTGCGTTTAATAAAAAGTCGGTCTTCTGCATGCGTGTCTTTGTCGGTTGAATGAAACACAGTACTCGTCTTATTCATAGATCGACAGCCACGAGACGACTGAGTTTCTACGGTCTCCGTTCCGCTTTATTGTATTTACCGGTTTCGTCTCTGCCACTTCCCCTTGCCGTACGCGGTGCTTCCTACAGTTTGTATATACGAAAGAGGGGATGTCACTGTACAATATCATTTCTAGAGACCGGATAGAACAACTTGGCGCTGGGGTCAGCCTATATAATATACTAATATACTAATATTGTTAAATATTGTTGACCCACGGATTTCCTGTCCAGTCCAAATGACTGTTTCACAATCAAAAATTTATATATATCACGTTTTGAAAGCAGCTTCCGTGACGAGACAGAGTCAACGGTGCTATATCTTTTTCTTGAAATCAGAGGTATTGGTGGACATATGGTGTGTGATTGTAAATATTATACGAGCACATAAGAAGTGCACTTTTTTACGCACTTATAGGGAAATACACAAAATGGGCATTACATGGAAAAATGTATCGATTATCTAAAGTAGAGTATGCTTTAACAAATAGGTGAAACTAATCTTTGCTACGGTTTATTAATATAATAATTTATAATATTAATAAATCTTTGCCCTTGTATTTCTTTTTTGTGAATAGGCCGAGAGTCAATGATTTTGTATGTTTTCATAAACTTAAAAGACCTACCGAATGCGATTGAAAATAAATCATATTTAGTTGCATTTATATAAATGCGGAATTTGCATAAATATTCGCAATGTATTGATGACTTATGTAACAGAATAAAATAAATAGAGAACGTAGAATAAAATCTTTTCATTTAGAACTTGGTTTTCGAGAGAATCGATTTTGGTATCCTTGATAAAATTTTTCTTTGTACTTTGTTGAATCTAATAATCTAATTATTTATAAAAGTCGCGTAGGCATTCTAAATATAGAAACAATGGTGTTACTGTACCGTATTGTATGCATATAATTACGTATGTAAGTGTATGCGTACTATTGTATACGCAGCTAATTCTCAAAGTCTGTTTTTGCATAAGAAATCATCTGCCCGCTCCACAAACCTTCAAAAATCAATTTTCTTAAAATCTAGATGAAAAAAACTTTATTCTACATTTTTGGTGAAATGATTTCCCGTTTTTTCTATAAATTTCATTTCACTTACAAATGCATACTTACGTTAGCAGATTTTCAATATCAATTTGAAAGACAAACTCCAATTTTTTTTATTTCAATTCTGCATATTTTGGATACGCTTCTTATTATACAACGCTTGATCCGAGCAATGATTGGCTTATGACGATTCAAATTTTCTTTTGTTTATTGACTGTGGTAAATTCTTATTATTTCTTTTTTATTGTTTTCGGCAGGTCGTTCATTTCTTGAGTTAGCTCTTTTTCGTAATTCTTAATGTATTGCATATGTATTGTATTTTCTATCTTTTATTTATTTTTGGATAAGGTAGCGTTTATACAAGACTTTACTTTGAGCCATATCTTGAGCATTTAGGAAGCAGGGGCGTTAAATTTGGCGTAAGTCAATATTACATAAAGGTTATTTGAAGTAATAAATGCTTATGATAATTGGGTTGGTTTGCTTGTTTCCTAAGAAATAAAGAATGCCTAGATTAATTGCCAATTATTTAACAAAAATTTATTCAACACGCAAGCTATTTTCTGAGAAAGTTTGTTACATTTTACATTTTTCTATAATGTTATACATGTTGTTATTTATTTTATGTATATTATTTTTCTGTTATATATAGCCGTGATATTTCGTGTTAGCGATGATAAGCTATAATCGTTCTGCGCATTACACGGATTAAAAGAGATTAATTTTATTCCGACAGAAAAACCCACAGAGGAACACTGTGAGGTCTTAGACGAAAATGTTTATAGTAAGGTTATACAGATGGACATTAGAATAGAATATTCCAACTTTCAATAAAACCCAGAAACTGTTTTAAACAAGTTTTACGAAGTGTAATTTAGAAGGAGTATTACATTGACATGTATAAATATCTATTTGTATGTGACAATACAGATTGCCGAATTTTCTGAACTGAACCTTTCAGAAAAACCTAATCCCTGGCGTCAGTTCAGGTATCGCCCTGTCCTTGCCAAAAGAAGGTGCGCCAAGGGCATATAATAGAGTTGTCGTAACACTCAGGATGCTGTCAATTGAAAAATTAACATTTTCAAGGTATCAACGTGCATTTAAAGCATGTGTGGCAAATCTTCGATAGTCGGAGAAAAACATTCACCGGATATTTTTCAACATTTCGATAGATATCATGCAATAGCAAAAACAAACAAACCAGTCAAACACTATCACACATTCAAACTCCAGGGCGTTATCTCCACTGAAACAACAACGACGAAATTTTTGTAGCCGCTTTATATTTCTTGGAAAATTCACCATTTGTTATCGAATGTTTCTCCAAACTCCTTCGTGTTCATATATTTTCTTTTATATTTAATATAAATATAAATATATATATTCCCAAATAGGGAAATCCTCAATTTATTTTTCTTTAATGGGTAATAACATTACATAATTTTTAATAATCTGCCAAATATGAATTAACTTCATGCGTCATATATCAATGGATTTCTCAACAAAAATGTGCGATAAAGGGGAAGCCACAAACGCCCATTATTATTATTATTATTATTTTTAGTAACATAATTAATAAGAATATCGCATAGCTTTTAATGTTTCGTAGAACATCAACTAATTTTGTGGTTTAACTGTGTATTTGACTTCTCCACGTAACTGACAATAAGAGTCGAATTGTAAACATCTAAATTATATTTCTAAATTATTACATACATAAATGACTATATTAATGATTTTCAGAATAACAATTAATTCGCAGTGAGGATTGAGTCGTAAATGCTTAAAAAGAAATTCAATCGTATTATGTATATCTCGTTACAATATCTTAATCTTTTGTAATAATAACGCTACACACTTTTTGGTAATCTTTGGTACATAAATTAATTTTATTAAAGAATTTTTCTAATGAATGATATTTGGCAAATTGTATAACTCAATTTCCTAAAAAATGAAGCATTCGATCCAATTTTATTATTTTTGATTTTGACACACTGAATTTTCACATTGAATTTTTAAGTTACTTTTACATTAATAATCTGTCTCTCACCTCTGTATAAACAGACAATTTCGGAATAATAAATACGATTTGTTTGAATAGCTAATACACTTGAAGAAGCATAAGGTAATCGCAGATGTGGGTTTTCCCAAGGGTGGATTTAAAAGAAGGGTTATTGCTGGAATCGTATTTATCATCCTTTTCAATAGTAGCAAATCATTTTCTCGAGAAATAAATACTTATAGTGTAGAATCATGTCACTTTATACGTACTTATACATTTTTCTAATATCGATTCAGCAGTGAAAACAAGATATCATGGTTAAACAGTAATACACCCAATAGATATGGCCATACATGAATGAGCTATCTTCTTGGAGAAACTAATTCTGAGATTTTGATTAATACCATGTGCCAATGACGCATTTTGAAAGAAAAGATCTGCCAGAATTTTATTCAATGACGTTTTTCAGTAGAAAAAATAACCGCGAGCCCGTGTTTCTCAGAGCGTTTGATTTCTTTTATAAATAGAATAATATAAATGCTGAATTGAAGTATTATTATAAGAAAAGATGATATTTTATGAAAAAAAGATAAAGAAGGCTGCAAATAAGACCAAGTTTAATATTTGTTCCATTATTATCGATTTAAAAAAGGTAGCAAGGTCATAAAAGAGCAAATATTATTTCGTCAGCCCCTTTTTGTTTGCAGCAAATAAAAGATATACGATCACTAGAATTGCGTGACCGGTATTAATATCCATACACGAAGGTTATATTTTTAGATAATAAGGTATACATATATATTTCAATTATATTTAAAAAATAGTTTCATATTCCAGGTATTTTTCGTAATATAATATAAAGTATACCATTATATAAATTATATATAGTTTATACTACAAGTCTTATTATAATTTAATTATAAATAACTATAATAAAATGTTATATCATAAATTAAATTTAATTTAATTTATTGAACAGAGGTGTGGGTTGCAACTTTTTAAAATTAGAAGGCTTCTAGAACTAAAAAAATGATCTTTATTTACCCTAAAAGTTCTACAGAGACAATATTTTCCGTCATTTGGTGTACTACTATCTTGGAATTTTCTTAAATTTAATTTAATCGTTTTATCAAATTTGACTTTTAAAAAATCTATGATCTAATTGGATTGCCATCCGAAAATTCTTTCATTTGATTAGGATTCTCTTGCGTAATAATTTATCAACTAATACCAGTAATAACTAATATTAATAAAAGTGAATACCTAACAACATGTTTGAAATAATCGCAGATGAACAATGTCATCGTTAATGAAATATTGAAATTCGCAAAGTCTGTAGTCCATTTTTTGTATTTAAAAGAATCTCTTAAATACGTACAAATCTGTAGTCTACTCATAATTTATCAATGTTCTCCTATAAGTACTGCCAAAATTGATAGTAGTTGACAGTTTATGCTCAGAATTAAACGTGAATGAATCTTTTCTGGACTGGTGACTAATTACACGCGATCGGGAAATTCGAACAATCGATGATTACGAGGATCATCGGATCGGAATCACGGGACTTCTTTTATTATCTATTATGCATACCTATCCCATTAAATAGCGTTACATGATTTTATCCACGCGCCTCGAATTCAGCCGCAACAATCGACAAAACCGATAAGGATCACGAAGCCCGCAGAAAAGATTCTGCTGATAATAAATCGCCATTCATATAAATAGAAAATCGATTAACACCACGTTTGACTCTGTAACTGTGTCAGTATCTCTACCGTTAGTCACGCAAATGATTGTTTTCTTTTTCCTCGGGCCAGAGGCAGGATAGGGTGCGTTATTTGAGAATGACATTTTATTCAAATTAAAGCTCATTTAAATACTATTCGATTTTAATCCCTTATTTGATTATTTGCCATTTATTCGTTCTTTCATTCGTTCTTCGAAACTTAGTCATTTTTAACTTCTACATTATTGGTCAATATAGAAAGTTATATTAATACTTATAATGTATTATATAATATACTATACATTGATAATATTCACAATGATATACATAAAAACCTAAATTTAGGTAAACGTCCGTAATCTAAAAATATAACTTCTTTCGAGCGCTGATCGGAAGTCGTGTCACGAAATTTCACAATGCGTGGGACTAATTTAGAAAGTGACGATGCAAATTATGTGAAATCGTATTTGGCTTAGAAGGAACTTATGTACGTAATAAACAGCAAATCGCGAAGTTCTTCGTTTCCATGGAAGCTGTACAGTTTCGAGGAAGAAATTTGCATAGGAAGAAAAAAACATGGAAAATGGTGCACTCTTGCGTATACTACGAAATATTATATGATAACAGAGCGTTACACAACATAAAAGGAAAATCGTGTTTACACGAAAAAGGCAATCGACATATGCAAATATACGTACGTCAAGCAAGGACTGGATACAATTTCATTTGTGTTTAGTTTTAAAGAAGAGCTTGGGAATACCAAGTTTTATTATTACAGCGCTTGGACAATGGTGATTAATCATGCTTCATAGCCGATGGGAACGATTCATTATTGAAGCAGATTTCCAATCACATCGACCAAGGTGGGATATTTTTAAAAGATTATTTTATTTTTATTCCGGATCACGCTAGTGGATTTCGATGATTTATTCATTAAACACAGGCGACTGGTCATAGAAGAATACCGTGGACAATAGTTGGATTGTTGAAATTTTTGTTGTAATCTTGACTATGTAACGGTATAGAATATATCTAAGTAAATATATGTAAGTAAATAATATCGTATAGTATATTTATTATAATATTATATTATTCATTTAAATTAATAATATAAATGTTACATATCATGTCTTGTCCTGATTTTTATAAACTTTCTCTGTATATTTATAACAATAATGTACATGTATTTTAGGTATCATATAATATTTTTAATATAACTGAATATTTGTCAAGATAATAGATAGAATTTTACCAGAAATTTAATATCACAGGGTACATATTAGATGCAAAATTCAAATGCCAAGAAAAGTTAGGTCGCATCTAAAGTTTTGTTTGTAACATTTACTTGGTCAAAATTGCCTAGCTAAACTGATGAATCAAATTTGATTATACGTGTAAGATATTTTGTGCATAATCTCTATGACATTTTAGATCAGATAATATGTATTCGGATGTATTATATAGTTATTGAAGAAGTATCAATATTTAAATAAGCTGAGAAACTTCTTTGCTTCAGTTAAGGAATACAAATTAAGAAACGATCTTTTATATATATATACATATATGCTGTTTTCATTACAATACATACAAATTCTAAATATGATTAAAAAGAAGATACAGGAAAGGATAGAATAAGAAAATTTTGAAGGTCAAACATTAACCTTTTTCTCTTTAATTATTATGCAAAAGATGCGTTTGGCGATCTCTCTTCTACTAAACATATGCACGAGAACCTGTTGTTTTATGATCTGCTTCGATAATATCCCTAACACTTACTTGCTCTACTTGTACTGAAGATGCAAATTTATACGTATAAGTAATTAAGCTACATAGCAGCAACTAGTTTCATACATAGAGGTTAAAAGTATATATGAAGATACAGTACGCCAGTCATATAAAACATACGTTACTATGTTATCGTGTAAGTGGATGCGATATGAGAATGAAAAGAAAACGTACATAGAGGCCCCTTCCATCACTGGCAAATAATGCCGCTCGTTGATCGGTGATACACTTACTTATTTACCTGTAAGGTACGTTCTCTTTTTATAGCTATATCGCCTTTACAGCTCGTTCACGCACACTATCTTTATATCTCTATGGTTTTACACATATGTGTGTATAACAATAAAAGAATTTTTCTGTTTACAATGTTCCATTTTTATCTAAAAAATTCCTGTTTTATATATGATCCAGTCTACTATGACTTCGATTATTAATTTAGTATCATCTCAATTTAATTGTTTTTTATGGGCAAAAATAATATGGAATATAATGTTGAAATTCAATAATTGTACTACGATAAAAGATATATATGTATTATTACAATATGAATTACAATATGAATATCATCCATTGATTATATTATCTTATGAATAAAACGGTCTTTTTTAACGCTTGCATGAAACTTTTAATTTATTATTACAAAATTTTAATACAATGGAAATCGTTTGACCGTTTTCAACTCAGTTCAATTTTCACTTCACTTTACGTCGTTACTCTCATGAGTACGTCCCTTTAAGTTCGGTAAATATATCACACTGGAATTTATTGATTTGTTCTGTCGCGTTACTATTGGGCAACGTGTTAGCATCACGATTTTACAAAAGAATGAACCAATGAAATAACGTCATTTCTATGTGTGTGTGGAACCTGCATGACGAGAAACGGAAACATTGCCCAGTCGCTCGTTTCCGTCTTCCCAGTGCCTGTCAGCCATTACCGCTCTGCTCGCCGGGTCTTGCAGGGTAAGTTCGCCCGAATATTCTTAGTTTTTTTCATTCGAATACTTTTGTCATTCGGCATGAGATTATTACGAAATAAATATATTCGTTTATATTTTCGTTTTATTAGTCTTCTTGTATAATTATTTTCTATCGCAGGTATAACTGGTACAACTGACATAGTTCCCGAAAAATCGAAGATCGTTCTTACGGGACTGGTAGTGTGTCAGCAGATTCTTCCGAACTTTTGCCGAAATGTATAACAACAGTTATTCCAATCGTACCAGGTACGTTACGTTAAATTCTGCCTTTTAAACGTGCAATATGACAATACCATACGTTGTGAAATGTTGAAACTGGAGAAATTTTTTTTTTGCGACTTGGTGTTCACCATTTTGTTCGTGGATATTCTCGACCGCAGCTTTTGCCGAATCGCTTAATTATGAGTCGAATTAACAATCTCGTATCTTATGAAAATTCATTATTCCGAAACATGGTAGAACGGAATTTGCGTACGTAAAAGATGTATTGTATTATTTTTTAATAAAATTAAATGCGACATAAAAAATAAAATGGCGCTGTCATTATCTAATGGAAAGATACTGACAATGGTAAAATTAAAAAATAAAAATTTATATTTGAAATAATATGTATTACCTGATATCCTTGTATCAAGCCACCATCTTATTGATTTTTATATCAGATTGCTATCTTGTTACATATGCTTTATACAATGAAGCACATTAATATTGGCACACTTTTTAAAACAAAATAACATTTTAAGAATTGGACCAAACGACTTGAATTTTTTGGAGAAATAAGGATTAGTTTACTAAATAACGTGCCAAAAAGAATTTTGAAATAGTTGCAATCAGTAGAAATCGCGAAGAAACAAATAAAGTTTGCTTTCTGTAAATTTTTTATGTGATTCTGTAATGAAAATTTAAACAGTACGTTTTGTAGATTCTTCTCAGTTATATACATGTTGAAAATTTCATTGAAATGAGTAATGTTGCTATGAGCGTAAACGGTTAAAGATCGCGATTTTTCGCGACTTTCGTTCTATAGCTGTAATAAATCTATATTCTTACACCTTTTGATGTCTATGGCTTGTTTCTGTATCAATCGATTTCGATGAAATTTTTAGCATGTGTATAGCTGAAATAGATCTATAAAACGTATATTTTAAATTTTCATTATAAACTCAGATAAAAGGATTGTAAAAAGCGGCCTTTACTATTTTTTTCGCGGTTTCGATCAGTTGGAACTCGTTCAAAATTTTTGTACATTTCATCTAATAAATTAATCCCTCTAGCTTCCCGAAAATCTGAAATTATATAAAATCTCAGAAAGTTATTATGTTTTAAAGGGTTTTAATTGAGTTTAAGCTGATGCTTACACTATCATATATAAGCCTTTAAACACCTCTAAATTATTAAAAGTATGTGAAGTATGTTTCAAATGAAGCTCTTCAATCTAATTTTTACTTATGATATTATCTCAGCTAGCCATATATAGTTAGTAGATATTGATAAGAACAACAGTTAAAGTGTTTAGTATAAATAAAAAAAGTTACTTCTATGGAAATACTTCAGTTAAGTGACTTAAGTGTATCTGTTCAATGTTGAGATGTTAAAATAATTGGAATATGTGTTTCCAACCATGTTCTGAAAATTTTTATAGACTTTATATATAGTAACTTATTTGTTAGAGATAAATATGAAACTTGATTAATGAAAGTATATTCCTTTGTCTTAGTATTCTTTTTAATTCACTTTACTTTATCTTTTTTGTTAAGTTTAGTTTTCTTTTGTAATTTAGCACAACATCTGATCTCAGCTGTAGCAAGATGTAACAATTAACAGCAGAAAAATATTCTTTCATAATAATCTTGAAAATGTAATGAAAATATCAGTATTTTGGTTGGACTGCACCAAATGTCCAAATATTTCTGCACAGTAGTGTATGTTCATTGTATATTTCATGTTAAATATCATCTATTATTCCATATCAATGGTTTATAAACTCATTATGTAGCGAATATACAACATATGTTAAAAGACTGTTAATATCACTTGAAAATGATTCAAAAAAAATAAGTTACAGACCCAGGGGAAGTAGAGACTCTAGCAATCGTAATGGAGGAGGAACATATTGGAACAGCCAGCAGCAACAGAAAGAGAAGTCACTTAAGAAGCAAGTCCAAAGAAGAACTCCTGGAGATTCATTGAAGAAGCCTATATGGGATCTGGCTAAATTACCAGTGATCACAAAGAATTTATATATTCCACATATCAATGTTTTAAAAAGATCAACCGATGAAGTTACCAAATATCACATTGGTAAAGAAATCACTGTAAAAGGAAACAATACTCCTTCTCCAATTCAAGCGTTCGAAGAAAGTAACTTCCCAGATTACGTGATGGAAGAAATTAGAAAGCAGGGCTTTGCTGAACCAACAGCAATTCAGGCACAGGGCTGGCCAATAGCACTTAGTGGACGCGACTTGGTTGGAATTGCTCAGACAGGATCTGGAAAAACTCTAGCTGTATGTATTTTAATATAATTTATTTATATATACAAATTTTTAAAATATTTCAGTCTCAAAAGATAGTAATTATAATAATGTATTTGACATTTCATTGTTTATTGAGTACATAATAATTAGTATAGTATTTATATTTATGAGATTTATGAGCTGACTGTAATATTCAGTTATATAACACAAGTTAAAATAACTACAAAACTAATAGTTTTTCAATATAAGTAGATTAATAATTTTTTTATGAAAAATCTTGAGTATATTAAAAAATATTTGAATGTAACAGTGAAAAGAAATTGTTGTTTAACATAATATTTGTCCTTCCAAATCAAACAATTTATTCCTTTCACATTTTTGAGTATTGTAATGTTTCTGGTATTTTTTGATACATTAAAAGTAACGAATATATCATCTTGTAACAGAGTTAGTGAGATATCCTGTATATATATCAATTAAAATTTTTAATTTGGTACTATAAATCATTTAGGAAATAATACATAAGTATTAAAAAGGAAAGCATAGAACTTTATTTTGTTTAGGATTAAAATACACACCTTCTACAAGGTATTAAGGCAAAATGTTTTTAGTTAGATAAATGTTAAGAGAATTTTGTTGTGGATATTTTTCAGTATATTTTACCAGCAACTGTACACATTAATAATCAACCACGTTTGAACCGGGGAGAGGGGCCGATCGTTTTAATACTTGCCCCAACAAGAGAGTTAGCTCAGCAAATTCAATCCGTTGCTAGGGACTTTGGTTCCTCCTCGTGCATTCGTAACACTTGCATTTTCGGTGGTTCCCCGAAAGGACCTCAAGCTCGCGATTTAGAGCGCGGCGTTGAGATATGTATCGCAACTCCCGGTAGACTGATCGATTTTCTCGAAAAGGGAACCACGAACTTGCGCAGATGCACATATCTTGTATTGGATGAGGCAGATAGAATGTTGGATATGGGATTCGAGCCGCAAATTCGAAAGATCATTGAACAGATTAGACCTGATAGACAGGTATTGATGTGGTCCGCGACATGGCCCAAAGAAGTGCAAGCTTTGGCTGAAGATTTCCTCTCAGATTACATTCAAATTAACATAGGTTCTCTGACATTGGCTGCCAATCACAATATTCGTCAGATCATAGAGATTTGTCAAGAGCACGAGAAAGAAACTAAACTTTCAGGTCTATTGAGAGAAATTGGCAAAGATAGAGGAAGCAAAATGATTATTTTTGTTGAAACGAAAAAGAAAGTGGACGACATCACCAAAGCTATTAAACGAGAAGGTTGGCCAGCTATCTCTATTCATGGTGACAAATCACAACCTGAAAGAGATTACGTGTTATCCGAGTTCAGAAACGGAAAAACAATGATCCTTGTTGCTACCGATGTTGCTGCTCGTGGCTTGGATGTCGAAGACGTAAAGTATGTAATTAATTTTGATTATCCAAACAGTTCTGAGGATTATATTCACAGAATAGGGAGAACCGGACGTTGCCAAAGTGCAGGTACAGCATATGCTTACTTTACGCCTAATAACGCTAGACAAGCGAAGGAACTGATTTCTGTTCTGGAAGAAGCTGGTCAGACGATAAACCCTCAACTGGCAGATTTAGCAAACTCAATAAAACCTGCATATGGCAAGGGCCGCCAACGTTGGAGTCACTCTCGCTCTAATAAGGATAGTAGTTCAACTGGAAGTCCGCGAAATAATAGCAGCCCTATTTCAAACAATTGGCAAGCTCAACATGTTCAAAGTACTCAACATAATAATGGTAACAGTCAAGAGAGGACTGTTGTACGCCAACAAAATGCATACCAGACCAACCGCCAGAATACTTTCCAATCTAATTATCAGCAACACCAACAACAGTCACAGCAGCAACAACACCAACAGCATCAGCAGCAACAGCATCAACGACAATCGAATACTTATACCAACAGCTGTCAAACTAGCAATAGTTACCAAGCTGGCTATCAGAATGCAAATATACCTAGATACCATGGAAGAACAGGTGGTTTCCAAAATAATCGTTACCATAATCGCCAGAACGCATACAGCACTAATCAAACAGCTGGAGGACAAAGCGTGTATTCTATGCCACCTCCGTTCATGATGCCATCTGCTGGTGGACACACAGATTCAGGAATGCAGAGCCTTGTAAACAATAAGTTTTTCCAGACAAATCGTCCACCACCGAATACTGGGGCATGCGCATACCAATCGATGGGATACAGCCAGTTCCAAGCTGTGCCGCCGTATACTTATCCTTATCCGCCTACACCGGTACAGCAGTGACGCATTTCAAGGTATAAATCGGTAAGAGTACAGGCTAAGTAAAAAGTCGGATTTTCCTGTTTATAACGGGCCCACTAAATATTACTATTTGTGTAGATGGTTGGGTCTCTTTTGAATATATAAGTACCATAATCTTTCTTCTTTTCTTTGTCATTTATTATTTTTTTTCTGGAATAGTGCCGGTTAAAACTTATAACGAGAAATAAATTACTTGGGCTTATTTCAAAGAAAGAGAGAACATAGAGATAGTATAGTCGAATAATTTATTGTTCTTTATTGGTGAATATAAAAATTGAAGTAATACTGCGAAACGTTCCAAAGAATAAGGAAAAAGAAAAATTGAAAAAATTAATTATTACGAATCAGTAATCCACGAGGCACATTCCAGTCGAATTTTTTGAAGTAGTAGTAGTTATTTAGCAATGATACATTGATATAATTAATACTGGATGTAGAATATGACCAGCAAATATAGGCTTGTAGCTATGGTCATATCCTTAAGAAAAGTAATTAATCTTCTTGCGATAAAACTATGTAAACGTCATTTAATGCTTTCCCGAAATGCACGAAACGTATAGAAGGGGCGTGGGTTAACGTTTTCATATTTGATAATTTATTTATATTTTGCATATATATATATATACGTATGTACAGGCAACGCTCTTCAAAATGTAAGGCCTTTTGCATAAAAATTAAGCCGTACACCCGTTTTTACAAAGCACACGACAAATATAAAGAAACATCGTGTCCTCTGTTCTGTAATGAGACCGGGTGTTTTGTGTCTCTTTGATAATAGAGGGTGAAATGGTTAAATCTCATCAGAATTAAAGAACTTTGATGAACGATAAATCCCAGCATAATTATATAGCGTACAAAAGTGAGTACTTCGAGATCTATCCTGGACACCGGTGTCTTTGGAACAAATTCAAAGTTTGAAACCGGTAACGGGTAAGAGAAAGGAAAACTTGGGCTTTAGGGGACAACTTAAATTAAGCATGTAGTCACAATGGCTGTGTACCTCGGCGCAAAGTTTGATACCTTATTTTTATAATATATATCGAAAGTAATTTGTTGTTAAACCAACGAATGATTATACGAAGATAAAAAAAAGTAAGAGAAACATTGTTGTTTGATGTTTATGCAATTGGCCACTGAGTGGTCTTGTCCTTGCGCGACCGTGTACAATGTATAGGTGCACGCGCCAGGCTGGCCGCGAATCGAATAAAATTTAGTTGTACCTGTTTTTTAGTTCGTGCTCACTGAAATTATTGCTATTTTTTAGGGAATGATTCAAACTATCCGAGAGACATTTTTCTATCGTAACGTTCAAGCTATAAAAAGTAATGCGCTGCCGTGAACGTATGTATATTGAACACAGAAACGCGTGACGAAAGAGTTTTTAACTTATATATATGGTAACGATCCATGTGTTGTATATGTATATCGCTATGGCCATTACGAAGCGACCCTCGAGAAAATTTCATGTGATATATGAAGGATGCTAGAAAAATGAAAATATAAATTCATGCCGTGATAGAAGGCACGAAATCGTTTATCGACAGCGCATAGTGAATTTTTTGCGGGCCTCCAGATTACTCTGTACACGTCACTACTCGAACAAACGAATAGCAAAGAAACTAAAAAAAGAGCCAACAGAGAAGAATGCAAGACTCGAAATATACACTCGAGCAAGGACTCGTTTGCGAACGACATTATTGTGATAATTATACGTAACGCTTTCGTGAAACGGTCTCACAGTTCGTTACTTAATTACGCACAGTAGAAAATGTTGTGAAGCAGTACGTGTGCACAATACCATTTTCCGGTTGATTCACAAAAAACCGCGCGTCACACGCATACTTCAAGCGGATTTTGCTCGATAAAAGAGATTGAGAAAAAAAACTCTGTCGATTCGTTTCTAGGTTTCCACGTGGTAGTCTTTATATTCTTCTTTTGCTGAGCCGATAAATCGGATACATTTAAAATGTTGTTTGTGGTGGGGTCGCGAGCAGAAGTTAGGCATTCGCGGTATATTGTTTGTATTTGCCCTTTTGAACATTGTGAATGCTTACGCTCCTACTGTGTTGATCTGACTGCAACACATTGCGTTGTCAGAATGAATAGTGATATAAATAATAGGAAGCGTATGCTACGAGTATTAGACAATTCTGAATACTCATACATTGCGTACGCCCTCTATTAAATCATCTATCGCTTTGAATTTTTCTTTAAATCTATCTTTTCGTCACAATTGGTCAGAAAGATACTAACATTTCTTTTTTTCAGAGATTATAGTTTCGTCGTAAAGTTAGAATATATAGTCTACTCCAAATAGCAGACATTATCTTAGTGCAACTGTACATCTTGGAATTCCATTATATTGCAAGCGATGTATCTTTCATGCATTTATCAATTACTGAGGCTTTTAGATACACTTTGTGATCTGTGAGAATTTAATAGATGAATTGAAGTTGTGTTTTATTTATTAATATTTCTTTTTCTTTTTCAATCTAGGTTTTTAAACTTTCACTATCTCCTGAGTCAATCGAAGAAGGTAGTTGGGTTGTTGGAGAGCAGAAAGGCTGCTATAAGTTCAAGACACTTGTTCAACCAGATGAGAATTACACTCTGTTCGAGACTGAACAGTCGCTTCCGTAACTCTGGTTTAAAACTTATCAGAATCTTACATTCTCTGAGGACAGCAATATTATAACATGGCTGTTCTCTATTCCAATAGTGTAGACTTCTAAATGTTTCAGAAAGCCTCAGAATTGTAACCCTTTCAGCTGTGCTGCATTTGTTTCCATAAATTAAGATGAGATGAAAGCGAGAATGAAAATCGATGACTGAATGAAATTCGAATATGCATATCTTTTCTACAACCTTTCTTAGAAATTTTTATGTTATACTTGGCTCGAAGTACAAACGAAGTGGACACAGGACAAACACCGAACATTGGGCAGCAAAGGGTTCATATATTTTACATTTCAATTGACAGTAACGTAAGAAACTTTGTGTTTTTATGTTTCTTCCGAACAAAGCAAACGTTTTAGCGAAATGCAGCTTGCATTTTGAAAATTGATAGTGGGTGTACGCGTAGCTCTGTGATATGTAAAATGTAGCATATTTATAGATCTACCTATCGCGCATCACAATTAAAATAAGGAACGTATCTTATCAGTTTTATACATGGTATACAAATCATGTGATCCTAAATGACGTGTACTGCGAGAGCTCGCTGTCTACTTTAAGGGAAGAGAAACGAAAGTTGTTAGGAAAAAACGAAAGATCAGTATTCCTTTTATTCTTTTATTTTTTGCGTTTGCCGTGTGAATTCGTGTATTGTCATGGTAAAGAACAGATAGAAAGGGATTGGAAGATTGGGTCTATTATTTCTGAGCGTTCTATTCATAAATATCTTAAGTCTTACTTTTTCGTTTCATTATGTAGTCCGACAATTTCATCTCCTACGCGATTATATAAAAGCGTAAACATGATGTTCTTCGTGTTTCTTTTTTTTCTCAATTATCGTGAAACTGTTTCTTTTTATTTTGTATGTCTGTTTGTTAAGATATAGTCTTCTAATACTTACGTGTTTGTTGCTAGCAAAGAAGTCCGTGAAACTTCAGTACTGCTCAGCTATGAATATTTTTGTTAATTTTTCTTTTGTACTTGTTTTTTTATTATTTACTTTAATGAACAATTAGAAATCTTATACTCACTTGTATTCGTACTAAGTCCAGTGTCACGGGGACTGTTCAAAAATGGTGCGTATTCTTCGCATGGTAGGACATGCGGTATAATTTTACTTCTAGGGAGCAAAATCGAATCTTCGAACTATTACTTTCTTCCTACTAGTCGATGACAATTATTCATTCTTTCTTTTTTGTATTATAATTTCGTTTCGACGCGTTGTTAGGGAACGTCCATTGAATCGTACTTTTAACGTAACTTCTAACGAGATCCAGTCATCTTTAGTTAATACCGAGAGATTCCCCAAAAAGATCTTGCTCCTTTTATTGTTATAAACATGGAAGAGCATAAAAGGAACTTTCATAAAGTGTTCCATAAACTCTTGCAATATTGATGAACTCGAACGTCTCGGTCTAGGATATATTTCTAATAAACCGTATATATTTTTTTAATCAATCACCAACGATGATGATAAACGCCGAACGAAGGTGTGGGTGGGTGAGGGGTGGTTTTTCAAAAATATCTGTGACGCGCCTTCCGTCTGTTAATCAAAGACGAAAGGGTTCGATATATTCTCGTGAAATCTTCACGTTTGCATTAAGCACTCCGATCCAGATTATGCTAGTTGATCGAACATGCAATTTTTTTCTGTTCGCGTACTAATATATTGTTTTTTTCCCCTCAACAAAAAGGAAAACAAAAAAAAAGGATCAACGAAACAATAATTGGCACAATGTTCTCCACGCAAATACAAGCCGACGAATGAACGATTAATGTCGTCGAGTTTTCTGTGCCGTACGATCGTTGATGATACTAAACATAGCCTCGGGAACATGAGTACCTTTTTAATGATTAATGCTGAACGCTGTGATATCGCGTACATAAACATTTTTATTATTATAAACATAAATGTGCATATTATAATGTTAAACAAAAAAAAAATGAAGAAGAGTACTATTCTCCTTTATATGTGAAGACTGAATCTCGCCAACTTATACACAGGTTTAGCAGCCGCAGATACGTTCGTATACTATGTAGACTACAGATAGACTATTTGTACATTATTAATTATAACAATATGTTTTACGTTGGTAGTGCCGTATGGGGACGGTACTATTATGTTATAGTTCGATAACGGGTGCGTGTTCGTATTGTGCATTTTCTTTTCATATCGAGAATTAATTAATCTTCGGTGTTTCATGATGAGAAATTCACCAAATATTTCGCGTTTACTTTTCGTAGGTGTTGGAATAGTTGCACAAATCTGGATTCCTATTATTCTTTCTTCTGTATTTTGTGATTTTCGTCTCTCGATTCGAATCGAAGAAAGGATTCGATCAAGAAAAGGAAAAAACAAGAAGAAAAATCGTTTATTTGGTTTCTAACGATTGCTTGCCACGTTTCGCTTCTTTTCGATTTATCAATTAGATCGTTCGTGAAATAAAAAGGGACATTACAACAACAACAATACAATCCGTTTCATGATAGTTCCTATATTGCATTCTTCTTTGTAACGTGAATGAATTGCAGCTTAAATTTTGCTAAGATGAGTCAAACAATTATTTTCCCACATTTTATCTGCGTATCGTTCTGTTTGGTTAGAGAAACAAAGCTAAACTTGCGAATGTTTTATTGGTGTAGTCACATGTGTGCATTGCCAAGTCTGTAATTACTTCTGCGACTATGTCACGGTCGTTGCCGTAACATTACCATTATCTTTCATCAATTTCTCGAGAAATGTACTACTTAAAAATTGATGATCGTGTCACGATTCCATGTCATGGGTTAATCTTATGCGCGAAAAATATTTTTCTTCCGCTATGTAAGTTCCAAAATAATTCTATTTCGAAATGGAGAAGCGAATACGATATTAAGATTAATTTTAGGAAAACCAAATTTATATCATTAGTCTCATTATTTATCTGTAATATTAATGTGTTTCTGTTTTGTTGATGTTGTGAAATATGCGTGAAAAATGATTAATTGTTTCTTATTAAAAGTGATACCGTTCACTATATAAACGGTAATATCGTTTGTTTGTTTTCTGTTTTTTTTTCTTTAACTTTAATAGTAATAAATTTAGTTTCTTTTCTAATGTCGAACGTAGACTTGTTAGTGTATGCATGAGTGTCGAACACTGCACACTGCACGACAACAAAATTTACTGTGCAAGCTTTTACGAAACTGTGTGATGTAAATACAGTTTACGATTCAGATATTTATCATTTTTAAAAAATGCGTCTTTTAATGGTGGTACATATTTAAGCCTGGGCTATTTAAAACAACGGGAAAAAACACAGTACCTTCAATCGATCTTAATGTGTGCTGAGATCTTCGAATCAACAAATCTTATACATCTCGTCTAAACTACGATGATTCCATTAGAGAAACGTGTACTGAGATTTGTATCGATCAATAAGTGAGTGCACAGAATAACGTTAAAAATTTCTGTGATGGTGTACACTGTACGAATTGATTTCTTAATTTATGTATCATGTTCTAATGTTTTGTGAAGATTACAAAATATTTGTTAGATCTGCGTACACCTGTTTCCATAATTATTATGCTAGTGTTTTGTATATGTGTATTCAGCTTTTGTAATTACTTGCTGAACAACCAAGTAATTATAAAAGAAATTGTCTCTCTTTTTCATGTACATTTAACCCTTTTACTGAAAATCATTGAAATTACTAACATATTAAAGATTACCTGTTTCATTGAAGAAATAATAGTTATTTATTGTGTTTTAATAACTTGTGACAATTTACTAACTAAAGATTTAGAATATTCAACAAATTAATTTATATATTAATAATACAGTAATGTATACATACATATATCTTACGTAACAAACATTAAAAATTCATTAGTATTTCATAGTAAAAGACTTCATAAATTAAATATATCAGGCAAAGGGTTAAATTTTTCAAATGATTTCGATTCCAATGTAAATGTAATTCATTGTTTTCTTTGTGTGAAAATGTTCGCATTTTTCATGATTGTTCTCAGAGTAGTGAAACAAATACGAATCCGTCGTACTTCGTCTTTCTGAAAGCGCGTAATATTTCGTATTCAATATATTGCCAAACTTATTCTTGGAGTCGAAAATTGTTCAAATACGAGGATTCGAATATAGGTATAATTTGTGTGATATCACCAATGGTACTAAGCACTTATTTCTTCCAGCGAATCGTAAAAAACGAAAAATGATCCTCTCATAGGGACGTGAAGCGCATCGAGACGATATTAAGAAAAAAAAAAAACATTAAAGATGTTATAGGAATTAACGTGATCGTTGCGAGGAAACGCAGTTACAGCACGGTAGACTTCCTGTTGTTGTAATAGTTCATTTGTTGATGCGTTTGTTCTGAACGCCCATTAGGAAAAGAAAATGGTATTAAGAAAAGGAAAGAAAGAGCGAGTAGTTTGAAAAAATAAAATAAAAAACGCTAAGAAAAATATAATATGCTAAATTACGGAGAGAAAAACCGAGAAACTTGATAATCTAGTAACGCGTAATTTTAGTCGTTTCTACGAGATCAGAAAAAGTTAAGAGAATTTCAGACCGTCAATGATGTCAGGAATGGCGAACATTTAAAGAAAAAAAAAGGAACAAATAGGTATTCTGTTATTACGGCTTCATTGATTCATCACGCCTTACAATATGAAAGAGCTCGGCCAACTTTCATCAAGTGTGTATACAAGATTGCGAACACTCTTAGATCCGAAACAAAAACAAGAAAATAAAAACCGCTCCTTGGTCGTCCTCGAATTAATTAAGATAAGAGGAAGTGTTTGCTCTAGAATTGTTCGAACTGCAGCACAGAAGACGGCATACAACCGTGATTGCATTCTTGTTGAATATAAGGATATACGAAGGAGGCATGCAAGGATATATGTATATTTGCGTCAATTTTATGCGTAAAAAAGATACATTTATCAGTTCTTTATATAAATATAAATATATATAATATACTATATGTTTGTATATACAAAAATATACAGACATAGATTCTAAAAAGGAAAGAAGATATTCTATCAAAGCAATGCTGTCCATCAAAATTGAAGACACTACATAATACTTCTTTGTCTTTCGTGAAGGTTGTTACTAATGGACAAAGAAGCTAAATGTTTGTAATAGAGGATAATTATTCTTGTTAATACGTACTTGTTGTATATCCGCTTAGTGTAATAATATTAAAAATCTATACCATATGGTGTAACAGGAGACGAATAGGAGGAACGTGTTTTTTAAGTTATTGTATCTTTATTTTGGACAGCATTGTTTTCAAGGATAAACGAATGCCATAGAATATTCTGGACGAATGAAAAAAAGTGATCGCTTATCACGTTATTAACAGATTCACTGCTGCCTTATATTTCATAATTTTACTTTTGTACTGACTGTGTAAAAGTACATTCAAAGGAACTATCACAGTGTACACTTGCCATGATAAACTTGGCAGTGAATGTGTTAAAGATGACAAGTAATCTAGTCGGAATTATTCTGTCGTTAATTGTGACTCTTGGTGGGTGCAAAGGTATATTGAAACTAATATCTTTTTTATAGTATAACAATATTGAAATATGATTCGAACATTGTTGTACGTAATACTTTACTGGAAAAATGTTTTTGATTATTCAGATATATTTAGTTTTAGAATTCTGACGCAAAAAAAAAGGAAGAGAAACGAAGATCTCTAGCGTTTTGTACCGAATAATGTCCACACTCGACACGAAAATGTTATTTTAAAACGATATTTTAAGAAAACGAAAGACCCAGTATTAGCAGTACAACTAGAGAAACAAAGTTGTACGAATACTTCGTTATCGTTTTGATTCCTTTGTTCTATATTGTCCTCCATTTTGAATCCATCGAGTGAACGCGGTAGAGATATTCGTCGTCTAATCGTATAAGCCGTTTTACTGCAGAATTACTAATTTTTACGACCAAAGAGAGGTAACACAAAAATTTTTTTCTTTTCTTTGTCCATGACACAACTGTTTAAAGTGGAAAATAAATCAATAGTTATATGTAATGTGAATATTTTAATGCAATCATCAGTGAGTGATAGGAAGCAACTAACATTTGTTAAAAGTACCTTAGAATTAATTATTTTATGGATCGCTCATGTTTAAATACAATTTATGGTTTCGCCTGTGTAGAAACAAGAAGATTAAAGAGCATACACACATTATTTATATAAGGCAGCGTACAAGATGAACAATTTAAGGAAAATGTGGCATATATGATATTAAATAATATTTCTGTATTCAGATTCTCTTCTGTAGGTTTCATTAAAGTGCATTTCTTGTATGTTACACAGTATTATGATAGAATGTAAGAATAAATACTGCAATAATAAACTGTTTGTTTCTCTGTCAATTTACGAAACTTATTTAATATCCCCTTTATAACGTAAATGTTATAGCACAAACCAAGACGATAGATAATAGGCATATTTCGTTAGAAAAAATTATTGCAATTATGAATTAAATTTGAAACTTTAAACAATTCATAGCTACGAAATTTATGTTTTATTCTATCATCGAAGGCAGATGCCTGTTAGTTAGATATTATAATAACGACAAGTATCCCAGTAAAACATTAAAATTTCGACTAAACATGTGAAGGGTGGATATAATAGTTTAGCGTGTGAGATTAATTTAATTAATTAATGAGTAACACCGCTCACCGTCTTTATTTTTCTCAAATAGCATTCGTTCATTTATGAAATTTGTTCTTTTGCAATTAGTTGATTCTGTTTGAACGCAATTTATGGTTTCGACCGAGTAGGAACAGGAAAAACAAAGAGCATACTTGAATTATTTATAAAGAATTTCAGGAATGTGGGGGTAAATGACGTTAATAATTTTTTCGTTAGAAAGAATTATTGCAATTATGAATTAAATTTGAAAGTTTAAACAATTCATAGCTACGAAATTTATGTTTTATTCTATCATCGAAGGCAGATGCCTGTTAGTTAGATATTATAATAACGACAAGTGTCCCAGTAAAACATTAAAATTTCGACTAAACATGTGAAGGGTGGATATAATAGTTTAGCGTGTGAGATTAATTTAATTAATTAATGAGTAACACCGCTCACCGTCTTTATTTTTCTCAAATAGCATTCGTTCATTTATGAAATTTGTTCTTTTGCAATTAGTTGATTCTGTTTGAACGCAATTTATGGTTTCGACCGAGTAGGAACAGAAAAACAAAGAGCATACTCGAATTATTCATAAAGAATTTCAGGAATGTGGGGGTAAATGACGTTAATAATTTTTTCGTTAGAAAGAATTATTGCAATTATGAATTAAATTTGAAAGTTTAAACAATTCATAGCTACGAAATTTATGTTTTTTTCTATCATCGAAGGCAGATGCCTGTTAGTTAGATATTATAATAACGACAAGTGTCCCAGTAAAACATTAAAATTTCGACTAAACATGTGAAGGGTGGACATAATAGTTTAGCGTGTGAGATTAATTTAATTAATTAATGAGTAACACTGCTCACCGTCTTTATTTTTCTCAAATTGCATTCGTTCATTTATGAAATTTGTTTTTTTGCAATTAGTTGATTCTGTTTGAAAGCAATCTATGGTTTCGACCGAGTAGGAACAGGAAAAACAAAGAGCATACTTGAATTATTTATAAAGAATTTCAGGAATGTGGGGGTAAATGACGTTAATAATTTTTTCGTTAGAAAGAATTATTGCAATTATGAATTAAATTTGAAAGTTTAAACAATTCATAGCTACGAAATTTATGTTTTATTCTATCATCGAAGGCAGATGCCTGTTAGTTAGATATTATAATAACGACAAGTGTCCCAGTAAAACATTAAAATTTCGACTAAACATGTGAAGGGTGGATATAATAGTTTAGCGTGTGAGATTAATTTAATTAATTAATGAGTAACACCGCTCACCGTCTTTGTTTTTCTCAAATAGCATTCGTTCATTTATGAAATTTATTCTTTTGCAATTAGTTGATTCTGTTTGAACGCAATTTATGGTTTCGACCGAGTAGGAACAGAAAAACAAAGAGCATACTCGAATTATTCATAAAGAATTTCAGGAATGTGGGGGTAAATGACGTTAATAATTTTTTCGTTAGAAAGAATTATTGCAATTATGAATTAAATTTGAAAGTTTAAACAATTCATAGCTACGAAATTTATGTTTTATTCTATCATCGAAGGCAGATGCCTGTTAGTTAGATATTATAATAACGACAAGTGTCCCAGTAAAACATTAAAATTTCGACTAAACATGTGAAGGGTGGACATAATAGTTTAGCGTGTGAGATTAATTTAATTAATTAATGAGTAACACCGCTCACCGTCTTTGTTTTTCTCAAATAGCATTCGTTCATTTATGAAATTTATTCTTTTGCAATTAGTTGATTCTGTTTGAACGCAATTTATGGTTTCGACCGAGTAGGAACAGAAAAACAAAGAGCATACTCGAATTATTCATAAAGAATTTCAGGAATGTGGGGGTAAATGACGTTAATAATTTTTTCGTTAGAAAGAATTATTGCAATTATGAATTAAATTTGAAAGTTTAAACAATTCATAGCTACGAAATTTATGTTTTATTCTATCATCGAAGGCAGATGCCTGTTAGTTAGATATTATAATAACGACAAGTGTCCCAGTAAAACATTAAAATTTCGACTAAACATGTGAAGGGTGGACATAATAGTTTAGCGTGTGAGATTAATTTAATTAATTAATGAGTAACACCGCTCACCGTCTTTGTTTTTCTCAAATAGCATTCGTTCATTTATGAAATTTATTCTTTTGCAATTAGTTGATTCTGTTTGAACGCAATTTATGGTTTCGACCGAGTAGGAACAGAAAAACAAAGAGCATACTCGAATTATTCATAAAGAATTTCAGGAATGTGGGGGTAAATGACGTTAATAATTTTTTCGTTAGAAAGAATTATTGCAATTATGAATTAAATTTGAAAGTTTAAACAATTCATAGCTACGAAATTTATGTTTTATTCTATCATCGAAGGCAGATGCCTGTTAGTTAGATATTATAATAACGACAAGTGTCCCAGTAAAACATTAAAATTTCGACTAAACATGTGAAGGGTGGACATAATAGTTTAGCGTGTGAGATTAATTTAATTAATTAATGAGTAACACCGCTCACCGTCTTTGTTTTTCTCAAATAGCATTCGTTCATTTATGAAATTTATTCTTTTGCAATTAGTTGATTCTGTTTGAACGCAATTTATGGTTTCGACCGAGTAGGAACAGAAAAACAAAGAGCATACTCGAATTATTCATAAAGAATTTCAGGAATGTGGGGGTAAATGACATTAATAATTTTTTCGTTCGAAAAAATTATTGCAATTATGAATTAAATTTAAAACTTTAAATAATTCATAGCTACGAAATTTATTTTATTCTATCATCGAAGGCAGATGTCTGTTAGTTAGATATTATAATAATGACAAATGTACCAGTAAAACATTAAAATTTCGACAAAAGTTTTGAATCGGATGTGCCATTGTGTAGATACGCTGGTGAAAGTTGGCGTCGACCGGATGTAGAGGTATGGCCACATTGGCAACGCCCGTCGCTATCTTTACTATTCTCAAATTGCGTTCGTCAGACAATTAATATAATTTACATATTGTTATAAACTGTATTATGAATTATTGTGAATTATTGTACATTATATATATTGCTAAAATAAATAAATTCTACATTTAGTGAACAACGAATCCAAGCCTGTGTTGTCAGGTTAATATAGATGGCGCGGCAGTAGCCGCTTGGGGGTTCCGTGTAATGGACCTCGTTCAGTCTCACTCTGCGACTAGATGGTGACGGTTGTGTCGAAGCTAGTAGCGAAAGTGCGGAGTGATTTCTCTGTCTGATTCATGTATTTTCTATACATGTTTTAACACGTTTCAACACGTTTCTTGAATATTATTTCATCACAGTGTATAAAATAATCTTTTTATACTTGTGAACTGGTTACTTCTATCGTTATTACTGAATGTGACCATATTCTTGTGCGTGAGTGTAGTGTTATGTGACTGATGCATAAACATAACCTCCAAGAACAGTAAAATATTTTTTTAAATATTTACACGACAAGAAGAATTGCCATCGTTCGTTTCTTCATTTGTGTCTATTGAAGTATTTCAATAGTAATACTTTAAATATTTAATTATTAACTGTTAGGAAACAGTTAGAGAAATAAAAATAAAAATGAAGAGCAGTAAGTAATACCGTTTAGCAATATCTATTTATCATTTTATCTGAATAGTTTGTCATTCTATAACTGTAGAGCACTGCTTTATCTTAATTATTTCATGTCATAAAAGTTTTATATTAGTTAACTTCTTATTATTTATTTTTATAAATCTAATTTAATTTGTATTAAATTCTACTTTTAATCTATCAAATATAGTATTTTTTTTTATTAATCTTAGTCCGTGTCTTTCGGCTTTGGACGACTTCCAGATTACATCTCTTATATTGCCTTTACTTATATCTAACGCTTATCCTTCTTTGGCTGTATCGAATATAGTAATATCATGGTATATTTTAATATTTCAGATTCAGATGAGAGTGATTATGAAAACGTAAGTTTCAAAAGTTTCTCACAAGACAACGATGGAAGTGTTGAAACAAAAGAAAATTATTCATCATATTTTTCTTGTTCAAACGAGAGTGATGGTAATGAAGATTATTATAATGAAAATACTAGTGAGAAGGATAGTATAGCCACATTCAAATCTCATAGTGTTTACCAAGATTCCTCTTATGAACAAGATTCAGCCGATGAAGGTTGTAGTCAAAGTATGCAGAATCATGCCTACATACAAGATTTATCCAATTGTAATGAAGAATTGGAAACTAGGACAAAAAGGAAGACATATGAAGAAGATCCTTATCACCATAGTAAACGACAAAAGATTCATAGAAGCTCGAGTAAGTCTGACGAGGAGGATATTGATGAAATGAGAGTTCACAACAGAAAAGAAGTAATAACACAAGAGCCAAAAAGTTCCCTTGATAAGGGCATAAGGATGATGCGAATGATGGGATATAAAGAAGGTTACGGTCTTGGAAAAAATAAACAAGGTCGTTTAGAGCCAGTTCAAGCACCTAAACAGCATGGTCGTAGAGGTCTTGGACATCATGTTCCTGGACTTGAAGCTTCAAGTCTTAAGTGGAATCCTGCAGAGGAAATAATAAAGTGTGTAGAAGATATGGAATGGATAAGAAATCCAAATCCTAATACACCTACATTAGAAGAAATGCAGCACTGGTTACATCAGGGACCAAAAAAGTTGACGATAGATGATGAAACTGATTTCTGTTGTGAAGATATAGTGAAAAATGTTATCAATGCAAAAACAGTATTTGATCATTTGGATGGCGTTGAAATACGTCGAGCAAGAACACGTTGCAATCCTTATGAAACAATTCGTGGTGCATTTTTTTTAAATCGTGCTGCTGTTAAAATGGCAAATATAGACAGAGCATGTAATTTTATGTTTACTAAACCAGAAGGTTTGAGGGACAATGAGCTGCTATACTTCGCAGATGTTTGTGCTGGACCAGGTGGTTTTAGTGAATATGTGCTATGGCGGAAGAAATGGCGTGCTAAAGGATTTGGTCTTACTTTAAGGAATGAAAATGATTTCAAATTAGCTGATTTTTATGCAGCTCCTTGTGAAACATTTCATCCATATTATGGACCAAAAGAAAATGGTGATGTTTTTGACCCAGATAATCAAGAGGCATTTACAAATCTTATAATGCAGCATACCCATGGCAAAGGAGTGCATTTCATGATGTCTGATGGAGGATTTTCAGTAGAAGGACAAGAAAATATACAAGAAATTCTTTCAAAACAATTGTATCTTTGTCAATGTCTGGTGGCATTGATGATTGTAAGAGAGGGTGGTCATTTTGTGACAAAATTATTTGACCTTTTTACACCCTTTAGTGCTGGTTTAGTTTATTTAATGTATCGCTGCTTTGAAGAAGTTTGTATTTTCAAACCAAACTCTTCTAGACCAGCAAATTCAGAACGTTACTTAATATGTAAAAAGAAACGGGCTGGGACACAAGATGTTGTGGAATATTTAAAGCATGTTAATCGTCTGCTTTTAAAAGGTGGTGAAAATGGCGATGTTTTACAGTTAGTATCATATAGTGAATTAAAAAAAGAAAAACAATTTGTTCACTATCTACGTGCTTCTAATGAAGATTTGGGCAGAAAACAAATAATAGGCCTGTGTAAAATCGCTGCATTTTGCGAGGATAGTACCCTTGTTGAGACAAAACAAGCTGATATGCGCAAGCAATGTCTAGAGTATTGGAAACTTCCTGATGAAAGTAGAACGCTTCCAAGGCAAATGAAGCCTAAAGATAAATTGAATACTCTTTTGAGAGATACTTCATTCCTTACTATTAATCCAGCACAATTGATGGAATTTAACATTGAAAATGCATTATTATCACCATATGACTGGTTTTGTATGCCATGTGGTACAAAGCCAAGGGATGATGATGATAAGAAGAACGCTACATTTTATATGGGCATGGGAAGGAGTAACGTATATCGATATATAAAGAACTCTTGGGTTCTAGTCGATGACATTGCCATAGAATTACCACCAAATACACTTATATACGCAGAAGTTGTATATGAAATGACTAAGGAATTTAGACATCAGCAAAAAGTACTTTCATTGCATATTATAGATGCATTCTACTTAGGAGGAGAGGACATCAGTAAAAAATATTTGAGGAACAGGTAAGCCATCTGAATCTTATTAAATTTAATAATAAATTATAGATTTTCAGTAATGAAATATTTTTTGAAGGAGTACTTTTATGTAATACTAATGTATGACTTTTTTTTTAAAGGAATGAGGATATGAAGTTGTTCTGTGAAGCTTTGTGGAAACCAGCAGGAAATAATTATGCTCGAGTACGTGCCAAAGAACTATTCCCAGTTGGTTCATACATATGTGAAAAGCTGCGAGTAACACAACGTAAAATGAAAAATAATTGCGATGCCTTAGTATACGAACTTCCAGAGAAGACTTTAGATGTTAATGGTTATAATAACGACAAATTGTATTTCATACCACATAGTGTAATATTTTTGAGAAGTACCGTAAATCCTTGGAATCGGTATGTTAGTAAAACACGTTCCATGACATACGTTTTTAATTGCAAAACAAATGAGAAGATATTCGATCTTCATAGACCAAGTTCAGCAGAAGCAAGCTTCGTTGAATCTTTTAAAAATCGCCTTATTTGGCATTGGCCTAATGATTCATCACTTACTATGAGCAGATTTGCAAAATTTATTAAAGATAAGTGTCCTGTATATAATACAAGCTTAAAATATTAAAACTACAGAATGTACATATATTGAAACATGACTCGAGCTGCGTAGAAGTCAAACAGATTAATTCCATTAAGTTGACTGTTATTTCGAATATGAAATACTTATAATATATTTTAGTATTTAGTATTATATTTCTATATAAATAGAAGTAATTTCAGAAAATATAATTAATCAGTTTGTCTTCTGGGTGGCTCAATTGCAATACTATTTGGTATGAAATATACTTTTACAAATGATATGCAGTATTGTATATAATGAATGAATGGTTATAGGAATGAATGATGATATTAAACTGTACTATATGATTGTATAATTTATTTTATAATTATATTATAAATATTTAGTCGATACAATTTGTTTTTAGTTAGAATGATTAGATATCTATTTGTGGCAGCTGCTCCCATAATAGGATAAGTTTCAATACCCAAGTCTACAATCCATTGCTTACCAACTTCAACATTTGATTCAGGTCTTTTATAAAGAAATATATATCTTATGTGCTCAAGTATAGCTACATATGAACCATCTAAAACATATAATAAGTTGAAGTACTGTGTGTAAATAATTTGTATTTATAATTTAGCTAAATACTTTACCAGCAGGTGAAAGACAAAACTTTTTGTTACTTTTACTTGCTTCAACGTAACCAAAACCAGGAAAGGTGTAATGATGCTTTATATTCCATTCCATATCATTTACTTGGTTAGTTATCCATAAGCAACCGTCATTATCGTGCCTTAAACATATTGCTTGTCCGGATTTTGTTTTGTACGTATACAAAACATGATTGTTTAGTCCAAGCATAGCTAAATGAGTACTTTCCTGTGTAATAAGGTCAATTCTTTGTAGAAGATTATCTTTTCTTTCAAGGTCACATTCTTCAAGTTGTTCAGCATTGAATCCCAAACAAGGTTGACCTTCTTGTTTGTTATCTATTTGATCTGCACACAAATGTGCTAACCTAAACATGAAATAAAAAGATATTAAAGTACAAATAATATAACAGAATTTTCATTAATATTTCAAGTAATGTACCTAAAATGGATTTCAGTAGCCAAAGTTTCATTAGGCAAACACTCTCCACCAATATCACCTTTAATTAGTTCATTCCACATCAAACCGCTTTCATGTTTATAGAGTTCAAGTTTAAATGTATCCTGTTCATATCTCCATGTTGTTAAATTTTCATCTAATCTGTATTGGCATTGCCCTTCAATTAGTATATTATTATTCACTGTTACCGATAATTCCAATGGTGTTACATTTACTTGAACTTTATCATGATGATGTTTATCTATTGTAAGCCAAACTGTTATCGAATCCTCATCCTGAGACCAACAATATTTTGGGATCTTTAGTTCTCCAGTTTTCTCTATATCCTTCCTACTGTCAGTAAATGGTTTTGTTTTTGGACATTCAAATGTTATATAATCTTGGCAAATAGAATGCAAGTATTTTCCGCATTCTTCTATATATACATATTCAACAGAACCATTTACTTTCAAAGCTTTTTTATCAGTTAGCTCAAAGTATTCAGCTTCATTTCCTACATTTCTCCAAATATATGTTAGCAGTAATAGTCTTGTAAATTTTTTTTCGCCTGTACTTCTAATATCACACATTACGATCATAACAGCGCTTATACTATTCACATATTGTACATCTAATATAATTCCAGGCTCTGCGTCATTTAGTATAAAAGATTTGATATGTTCTTGTGCATCTGTTACTAATAATGTTAAACAGTCTCCACCATCAGAGATTACAATAATATTGTTACTAGTAAATCCAATTGATGGATTATATAGAAAATTCTGTATCTTTTCGCTTAAGCTATGGATTGTATATACTTGCTGTAAATTGCCATTCTTTTTTAAATGCCACACAACCCAATCTTTATCTATAAACCAAACTGATGTATCGTATGGATTTTTGAATAAGTGATTATGGAAAGCAAACAATCGTGTTTCTAAAAGGGAATCACGATTGGTTGTTAACTCTAACCTAAGTATATCTGTAATTATAAGTAACAATGTTTCTGTTAAGATCTATCTGTTAATGTATTCTATCAAAAATAAGAAAATAGTAAAAATTAATAATGTATTTTGTTCATTAATCCTTACCTGTTTTCAAATTTATTTCACTGTCTATTGGAACTTCATCAGAACAAAATTGATATTTCTCAAAATTTAGATTTGTTAAATTTCTATCAGGACATAATTCCACAACTTCCGTCATTTTTCGCTGTTTTTTCTTCAAACGTTACTTAGAAATAAAGAAACGTAATTATCTTTAAAACCAAAATTTATAACCTTAGTATGTAATTTGTCCCCAATAGTATAGTCCCCAATAATATTTTTCAGTACACTTAATCGTACTTATTTCTTCTACTTTATTTTACAATATTAATAATATATATACAGCATTGATTTTCTTTATTTTAATTAAGTTTCAGTACAACAACACATTGACAGATTCAATCACTAATTGCTATACCAGCAATCGATATAACTTTATAATCGATATATGTACTTATAGAACGCGATAATATTGGATATAGCAGTTCGTTATGAAGTTTAAGAAAGCAATGAAGTGAGACATAATATCAGGCGAGTCTTGAATAAAATTGTAGAAGTATTAGATACATACTAATTTTATATGTGTTTTACGTTGTTTTGACAATAATGAACAACGTTTCTAGTACAGTAAAATGAAAATAAGTTACATTTTTTCCTGATATTAGAGTGTATACATACATAAGTAAGTACTAAAAAGGGGGTGTTTGTAGGAAATATTACATAAAAGTAAAAACGTATCAGAAATAATTTTTATTGTTTCCTTTTTTCAATAAACGCATCAACTTTTCACGGGCTTCTTTAATCGACATCTGTCAACATATAGTATGAAAAACAGCGAAAATTGCTGGTGTCAACCTATATTAACGTCCAAACAGTAAGTATTACATATTTTTAAAATAAATTATAGATTCTTGTATTCGCGAATGTAGAAACTATCATGAAATGTTTAATGAACATTCGTTATTGTATGTATGTATATCGTCACACATATGGATTCTTTTATTTCGCATTTGTTTTGAAATTAGTTATGCTCGCGTATACAATGCACATGGCGTGAAATTAACAATTCTCGTATATATTCGGGAAGCATCAATCCAAAGACAATACTGACTCAACGGAATTTCTATTTCTTGATTGATATTCTCCAATACCAACATAGTTCAGTGGACATCCAAATATTCTCCGATCGTCCGGTAAATAGATTGGTTGTAGATTGAAAATGAAACGCCTTGCAGAATCTAGAAAGGTACACGTAAAGATTCTCAAAGTAAGTAATATATTAGGAATAAATATTAAAGCTGTATAATTGTATAACAATCGACCAGAGCTCCCGAAAGAAGCTTACTTCTTGGGGGAAAATTATACTTTCTTATTTTCTTTAATTGTAGTTGCTAGATTAAAATATATTTATCATTTTGTTTATATAGCGTATATAACATCTTTTGGTTTTGTAATGATATATCAATTAGTTTATAAATTTATTAAAAATGACAAGTTTATATTATATTTATTTTTTTATACTTTTAAGTTTTAATTTTACTGTAAAAAATAATAAACTGTAAAAAATACAGTTTTTTTAGTTATGGAATATGGAAACAGGGACAATGTTTTTTTTATCATATTGTTTATTAACACATTATAATTTTCTCGCAAGTAATTAAGCTAATACTGACCTGCAGAAAAATTTTTGACTGTCGTTCGTTGTCCAATACCATTTAGCGTGATGGCCTAAATAAGATTAAACTTGTTTTAAGTAATTTTCAACTTCAATATCTTAGATAGAAAAAATATTATTTCGATTTCATTCCAAGTAACAATGGAAGAACTTAAAACAGGATGAAAGTCGCTGTAGAAATTATGATAAAAATATTTCTTTTAATGCAACATGCACTCAAATGTACTGTATCGATCCTTCTCCCATTATACTTATGATTCATGCAATATTGATTGATGCATCTTTATAATTTTAAATTTTTAGATTACTTTCCTTCTAGTTAATTTTTAAATTTTCATATTATTTGTCGCTAAAAAATGGTAAATACGTAGTTTCATTCATGCAATTGAATATCTTTTTCAAATATTTTCTTAAAGTTCATTATTTATTAAAGTTCATCCTTACTTACTGTAGTTGTAATATTGTCTTTTCCAATTTTTATAAAAAAAGAGAAAATTATCGAAAAAAAGTAATTTACTTGTTGAGCACTGTAATATTTATTTCATTAATTCTTATAATATTCCTTCCTTTATGTATGCAGATTGTATCACGAAATACATTCTTGGCCCGCAACATAATTTATATGAAATTGAACATCATTATAATGTAATGATATTCTGTACTTAATATATAATTATAGAAAATTGGATTAGTATACAAATCTCGTATAGGGATCTTTTGACTAAAGTACTGCTAGATACTTTTTTTACTATTCTCTTTGCTTTTTTCCTATTAGTTATTCTGCAGTTTAATGAATATTAGTCACTGTTATATGTACATATATCTCAATAGCAAAGATATATCGATTCAAACATTGTTCCTGATGATAGGCGAACACATACGTTTTTGTTTCAATAAAAAAAGGAGTAATAAATTTTCATATGCTATGGCCTAATATAATAAAAATGCAATATACGCTGTTGTGCAAAAATTTTCAGATAGATTTTTCACTTTATATTTCAAAAGCTATGCCTAAAAGAATTTTAACTAATACTGGGTATGATGGTATAACAAGTAAAAGATTATGATATAGTTATATAATATTAGTTAAAATCCTCCACAATACTGCTTGTGGAATATAGAATGAAAGATATATTTGGAAATTTGTACACACCATTGTACACGAAGAGCATAAAGGATAATTTTTCTTGCAAATAAGTCGCATTAAATCATGCAATATTAGGTATTCCAATGTCGTGTAATTCGCATCAATATTTTAAATAAAACATACACACGATGCATAGAAGGATTCACTTTACATCTACTATTATATTATCGTAGTAGGCGAACGGAAATTACATTATGGATAGAATGAAGAAAGCAAATGAACGATCATAAGAACAAACGATGCAACAAGCTTTACGATAACACTGATACCTCTAGGCTTCGTACTGCGTTTTCGTGTCATCGTGTTCGGGATTGTTGTTTAATGAGTCAACACTCTCCTCAACACTTATCCTAGACGAATTTTCCGGCTGAAATTATTATACATATATTTTCGATTATGTTCGTCCGCATTCGAAACTTTCGAATTATTCTCGATTTTCTTTTTATTCATGTTCCATATGACATGATGATCTAATTGATTGCCGAGAAAATGATGTTTATGTGTCTTAGGACTTTTATGGGTATTATGGTATAATTTTCTTTCATGTGTTTTGTGGGTTTACGAGGAGTGAGATGGCACAACGTTTTAGAATTGATTTCCTTAAGGATGTTTTATTCGTTGTTCGTATAACATAATCAATATTGCATATTTATATTTGTATTTATATATATAAAAAAGAAAGGATAAGGGACGTACATACAAAGCTGACAGAGAT